CTGCAGGAAAAAACCTGTTATTATTATGTAGACCAGGTTTGCTGAGTCAGGAAAACAAGTTAACAGTGAACATAGTAAAGAGGGACAAAAAAACAAAGCTTAAATATCTTCATGTATCGTGAAGGTACTCAATCATTATCTAGTCGACATTTTATTTTTCTCCTGTTTTAACTTACTCTTTTTTTTTAAAGATTTTATTTATTTGACAGAAATCACAAGTAGGCAGAGAGGCAGGCAGAGAAGGGAAGGGGGAGGCAGGCTCCCCGCTGAGCAGGGAGCCCGATGTGGGGCTCGATCCCAGGACCCTGGGATCATGATCCGAGCCGAAGGCAGAGGCTTTAGCCCACTGAGCCACCCAGGCGCCCCTGTCCTGTTTTAATTTACTCTTACTGAGATTTTTTTAAAAAGATTTTATTTATTTATTTGAGAGAGAGACAGTGAGGGAGCATGAGAGGGGAGGTCAGAGGGAGAAGCAGACTCTCCACGGAGCTGGGAGCCCGATGTGGGACCTGATCCCAAGACTCCAGGACCATGACCTGAGCCGAAGGCAGTCCAACCAACTGAGCCACCCAGGCGCCCCTCTTACTGAGATTTTTATACGTTTAGTATATTGTGAGTCATGGAGGAAGAGGTTAAATTCCAAGTTCTTTCCTATTACTTCAAGTAATCCTGCATTAGAATTTTTTTAAATTTTCATTAAAGGTTAAGTTCTGATGACACAGTGTTTTTTATTTGTGAAGGGATTGAGGACACTTTCTAATGTAGATATTTCTTTTGAAGTCTTACTGTTAACGGTTTTTCTTTTACCTTTAGGACAAAGCAACAACAATTCAGATACCTGTGCAGAATTTCGAATAAAATATGTTGGTGCCATTGAGAAACTGAAATTCTCTGAAGGAAAAAGTCTTGAAGGGCCTCTAGACCTCATCAATTACATAGATGTTGCCCAGGTAAAAAAAAAAAAAAAAAAAAAAAAATTTAAATTTTAGAACATTCTAGAGAATCGCTTTTATCACTGTTAAATATTTACCAAGCACTGTGATCATAGGTGGTACATGGTGCCTAGAGATGGGGAGTCCCACAAGAACAGAGAGTTCTTTCCTTCAAAAGTAGCACTTTTTACTCTGTCGGGGCTCACTGCCTTGTTTAAATGAGGAGCTGAGCACGGTGATGGGTTATATACACCGTAGGTCTGTCTTTGAAAACTTCTGCTGGCCTTTCCAGATCTCCCCCCAACTAGCCACTGCCCCTCCAGTAATGTGGCTCCTAGCGGAGGTGACGTGTCCGGGCCCTCACACCGTTAGCAACCAGAGTTGAGGGGAGGTGGGCTTCCAGACACATCTCGGTCAAGAATTTCAAAAAAAGGAAATGATTATGAAGGAAAATTAAGAATGAAAGTGACGACCAAGCCAAGGTGTGAAGTCAGGGCCTCAGATACTGTAAGATCTGTACCCCTGCCAGTGTCGGAGTGGATGGGCCGAAGACAGTTAGTGCTTCCTGAGTTTCCAGAAAATGCCATCGCAGGTCTTTGTGTTTGTTTAAGCAAAGGGTCATCACCACAAGGGGAAGAGTCCCTCGCTTGTTCTTAGAGCGCTGGTTACTCTTCGGGCTGTGTGGCTGGTGACTCATGGAGGAACGGGTCACTAAATTCATGGCTTCGTGCCCTCGGAGAGCACAGGAGGTCTCTCCCGTCTGAGGGGAAGCAGCCGGCAAATGTGCGTCCCACGAGACCTCTTGCTGGTCCGGGTGCAGGCAGTGTCCCAGCGTTTGGTTTGACGCCTGTCATCCCAACGAGTGCAAGCAAGCCCTCCCCAAAGTATGACACTGAAAAGGTCGCTAATGACATCTGCGCCCCAGAAGCGCGCGAGGATTAGCTTCCTGCCATCGGGACTGCTGAGCTGCTCAGGGCCCGTAGACTTCGGGCCTGTCGAAATCCCCTCAACACACTCGCGTTGGTGTATCCCAATTCTTGATTCTTGGAGTGCTCAAGCCCTCCTGTGAGAAACCGCTGGCCAGGAGTTACCGTAGCCACGTGAGGACCCAGGAATCGGGGCATGTGAACACGGCTGCTTTACTCGAATTTTTTCAACGCGGGCAGGTGGTTCCACACAGACAGCTCAGCACGGACATCGACTGATGGCCCACTCTCTCCGTTCTGTTGTGTATTAGGCAAGTTAGGCGGCGTTCTGGTTTGGGGGTAAACCTGGATAATCTGCTGGGAAGCCATCAGCTGTCACCTGCCGCTCTGTTTCCCAGGAACCGCACATCAGTCTCACAGCCCTGGGATGTGGGGACAAGCGGACGTGCCTGCCGACTGGGACGGATGTAAAATGGCTTTCAGGAGTGGGTCCTGCAGCCCTTTCCTGATGGTTTCCTGTGCTGACGTCAGCACAAGTCTTGAGTATTTTGACAGCTAAATAGCTTTATTTTTCTAATGTGAATATTTAAGCCGTGCTGGGATCTGTGAGAGGGATCGCCATTTTAAATTAGGGATAACATCAAGACAAATGGCTGTGAGATTTGCTCAGATCTGTGGACCGTGAAAACCAAACCAAACCCTGGAGACAGTTTTTCTGCCTCTTTGAGGAACAGTTTTTGCTGGGCTGTTGTGAACCCACGTTCTTGAAAGGGTATGGATTTGTGATGGCCAGATGTAAAACTTGACTAATTGGATTTACGGATTTACGGATTTTTAACGTAGCTCACGTGATTTATTTTTACTTCAAAGCAAGATGGAAAGTTGCCTTTCGTTCCTCTGGAGGAAGAATTTATCATGGGAGTTTCCAAGTATGGTATAAAAGTATCATCATCAGATCAATATGTAAGTAAGAGAATTTATTTATTTATTTATTTAAAAGATTTTATTTATTTATTTGACAGAGATCACAAATAGGCAGGGGGGGGGGAAGCAGGCTTCCTGCTGAGCAGAGAGCACGATGCGGGGCTTGATCCCAGGACCCTGAAATCATGACCTGAGCCAAAGGCAGAGGCTTTAACCCATTGAGCCATCCAGGCGCCCAGTAATAGAGTTTATTAGGGGAAAAGTGGGTTCCAGGCTGGGAGTCAGGCTGCTAAGGGCCCACTTGTTCTCTCTGCGTGTTTGCAGAACTGTTGGTTGGTAAACAATCCTGGCAGCTGGTCTTAAAAAAATGATCGATTTCTTAGGGTGACTGAAGAGAGGCCTCCTTGTGCTGCTCCCGGATGGTGGGGCCCCCCAGCCAGCACCCCCCACTGCGGGCCGCTGATGCTGTTTTGGCTTAGGAGGCTGTTTTGGCTCAGGGCAGCTGTCAGCTTGGGTGCTGGGCACAAAGAACAGGACCGTGAACTCAGATCTTACTCCTGTCTTTCTGGAATCTTAAGTAGGAAGGGATAACCCTGAAGGCAGACGGCCCCATAACTGACCATTCTGGAATATCTCTTTGCGGGGGGGGGGGGGGGGGGAAGAAAACCTCTACCACTGTTTTCTGCCAGATGCATAGATACACTCTGCTCAGAGCCTCACAGTAAATTCTGCTCAGAAGATGCCCATATGTCACGCTTTCCTTCCCTCACTTCCCAGGACGTCTTACACCGGCACGCTCTATATTTAATCATCCACATGGTATGTTACGACGATGGCCTGGGGGCAGGAAAAAGCTTACTGGCCCTGAAGACCACCGATGCCAGCAACAAGGAGTACAGCCTCTGGGTCTACCAGTGCAGCAGCCTGGTGAGGTTTCCTGCCACCTCGCTTGGTCCCATTCACAGGGGGTGGGTAGAGCCAGAGGAGACCGCCAGCGTTATCAGCGGCTGGAGACGTGGCAGCCACGGGCCGGCTGTTGCTCGGCGGTCGGCCGGCTGCCTGGACCTGTTGCGTGCATGGTCAGTTGGGCCAGGATTAACACTCACCTGTGCAGTTATCTCAAGGGCAGGGCAGCCCCTTCTGGTTGTCGCCGTTGTCCCCAAAGGCCCAGTTCCTACACGTTGCCTCCAGGGGCTTCTCCCAGAGGGAGCGCAGGAGGCGGTCCAGGGGACGTGGTGACCAGCCCTCCCAGAGCTGTTGGTGTGCCGGTGGAGGGGAGGTGCTGAGAGGGGCACATTTATATATTTGCTGGCCACGCTAATTTAGGAAGAGGTCGGTGAAGTCTCTTACTGTGTGTTTTTCACTTACCGCAGGAACAGGCACAAGCCATCTGCAAAGTTTTATCCACCGCTTTTGACTCTGTATTAACATCTGAGAAAGCCTGAATTCTGCAGCCCAGTGGAAGCCAGCCTCGTGCGGAAGGGCAGTGGGTTTCCATCTGCAGTGCTGAACTACTCTGGAAATCGAAAGTGATCCCTTGCTTGAGATTTTCTGAAGAAAACCAGTGTATAAAATAGTGGTCATTTGCTTTTCTATTAAAACGTCTTATTACAGTTAAATCTCAATGAGGTTGTCTGCTTTCTGGGACTAAAAAAGAAACCTCACCTGTCACTTTTATTTATGAGAGAGAGAGAGCAAGAGAAAGCACAAGCCGGGGTGGGGGCAGAGGGAGAAGCAGACTCCCCGCTGAGCAGGGAGCCTGAGGTAGGCTCGATCCCAGGGCCCCGAGATCATGACCTGAGCCGAAGGCAGAGGCTTAACTGACTGCGCCCCCCAGGTACCCCTCCTCTGTCACTTTTAAACCCCAATGAGCCTAACACCTAAGTGTGATAGACGTGCAGGCAGTGAGTGGGTGAGCAGAGAGGGCTTTCTGAGGAGGCCGCGGCTGTGGGTTGTACAGCACGTGGCTGGGAGCTCTGGTCACCCTGGTCTGGAAGAGCAACACGGCCAACTCAGGTCACAAAAAGTAAAACTTTAAAAGTATAGGTCAGGATGGCATGCTGGTCAACCAGAGTCTCTACCTCAGAGAAGAAAGGCCACCGCGCGCATCAGATAGCGTAGAGCATCTCCTGTACGGGGGGCCGGTGGGTTTTTCTAAAGGACCATTTTCACATGCAGTGGGGCCTGAAGGATTAAAAGCATCACAAATAACATCACGTCCATTTAAAAGTATTTTATTTTTTCCAGTCAAATGACTAGTGAACAGGAGGAGTCAACTTACTGAACATGCTCCAATTATAAACTAATTATCAGTCACCGCGTTACGGACAACGAAAATAAGAACTGATTCGGGTTATACAATATATACAGTTGCGCTGCAACTAGTTCGAAGTCATCAAGTGGACGAATGGGGTATCGTGCACCTCACGTCGCTCCCCCGGCTGCGCAGGCTGCTCCCCGCCCCGGGGCGCATCACCCGGGACCCAGGAGTCTGCACGCGGGAGCCCTCGCCCCTACGAGTCCGATCTGATGGCAGACAGCACGCAGGATGCCAGAATCCTGCAGCAAAGGTTCATGAAACGTGAACTTTATATATAAATAGTTATCTACAAGGTTTTCCTTCCTCTCCGTTGTTTTTTAATTTGCAAAGAGCAAATAACTAGGAAAGGATGTTATCAGGGAAGTTAATATAATTTCTCCTCTGGCAAGAGTAGTAGTAATTACTGCACAGTAGCACCACCGAATTGTCAACTGGAGAAAGTATTTCTGAGATAGTTCTGTACCAGTGAGCCTGCTGGATTAGTCTGGGACCGGTGTGAAAGGGTGCCGGGAATCCACTTTACTTCCTTGGATAGTTGGCGCCAAGTGGCCAAAAGGCTGATTATAAGACACAGTTGCGAGAGGACTGTGTTAAAATACACATAAGTGCGCTGTGCAAAATCTATTTACTTTCTTAAATCTGTGAGGGAATTAACTAAATGGAGGGTTCGAACAACAGAAATTAACAATTAGTGAAAACAGATGTAGTGCTTTAAAAAAAAAAAGAAAACAAACTTTAATTACAGAGCTGACACATTTTTACCCAGAACTCTGAAAGGCTTTAAAAAGCAATCGCCACACAACATCATAAAACATTCCAGTTTGTTCTGTTTTCCTTTATAACAGCAACAAAAAGTACAACGCAATTTAAAAAAAAAAAAAAAAAAAAAAAAGCTCTGCACTTAGAAGAGTCTTGCCTAATGAGGACGGGCTGCTCCCATCAAATGTACCATCGTCACCACAGAGGCATCGCTGCCTCGCTTTCCAAGCCCAGACCTACGCTTACCCCTTCACTTCTGGTCCAAATCCGAGTGGGCATTCAAGGCCTATTTATTCTCAAAGAGTGCCAAAGTGTCCAATATTCCTGCTATGAATCATATGCTCACAATTACTAAATAGAGGTACGACAGTCAAGTTTGAGAAACTACTGAATTCCGATTTTATGGCACTCAACCCAACCCCCCCACGCCCAGTAGCTTCAGTTTAAGAATGACGTTATGGGACTTCCGCTGTGGAACTGGGATGTCTGTTCAGGAAGATTTTATTACCTGGGACCTACAGATTTCAGTTATGTTCTTGATTACAAACAGATGGACAGATTCGAGTTCAAAACAGTATATCTACCATTCCTGTTGGTATAATATATAAATACAAGACGCTAAATTGAGGAAACATTCCCGGGGGCCAAAAAGGGAAGGTGGTGGTATGCTCAGTGGGAAACAGCAGGTGTGTGTGAACAGTGGGGGTTGGCCCACCGTCCTCTAGCTGGGACACGCAGGAGGGTCGAGAAGGCGAATTCCAAAACACCTAAAGCTTATATAAACTAGTTTAAAGAACTGTTTTTGCAATCCATCATCCTTAGTTTTTAACCAAATTCAGGAAATGCAGGTTTCTAGAACAGGAACTGAGTTAGCTGCTATTACCACACGCCGTAATAAGCCACGGGCGGGTGTGCTAGGTGGGACTGCTCACAACAGGCTACACGCACATGCAGAACACAATGAGAGCTGCGAACTCACAAATTAGGGCTGGAAAGCACGATGCTAAGGTGTAAGTTTTCAAGTTGCTTTAACTAAACCTTGGGTGGATTCCAAAGGAAATCTTTTAAGTGTATCTTAAAAAAAAAAAAATGTCTTTAAAGGTGAACTGATAGCATTTTTTCTAGGAAGTCCAGGGCTGGGCTACTTCTAAAGCAAGTTTACCGACTTCCTAAAAAACTGCATTGAGGGTCACCGACTCTAGCAGCGGGCCAGGGAAAAGCTGGAAGAATGTCTAATACTCAGATCCTTCTAGGTTCAGCTAATTCTGTAGACAGAAGATATTGATTACGTAGAGTTAAAATAACTTTTCAGTTCACCTTTTAGGAAATTCAATTTTTCCCTAATAAAAGTATGGCAGTATTTCATGAAAACCACAAATTATAAAAACAATTCATTTATACATACAAGTTGCCTCTGAGCTTGTAAAAGAGAAGAGCAGGGTCAGAGAGAAGTGGGCTACCAGACAATACATCTCATGAAACTGGTCATCTGGCAAGAATTTTGGTACCAATAACAAACAGGAACGTAACAACTGATAAAAGAAGTGTTTTTGTTCAGTAGCAAGTCAGTCAGCAATAAAGTGCACAAATGATACGGGAAATGCTCCTTTGCGGCTGGGATCTCCGTCGATGTGGCCAATCTGAAATGAATAAAATAGGTGGTTATCAACATTCTACATGTTAGAGACTTCAAAGAACAATGCTATAGCACTTGGGGAAAAAATGTGTTCAGAAGAATTTCTTAGAGAGAATGACTTGGGTAAGACATCGATAAACTGTTTTCCCTTTTTTCTTTGCCTGTTTCAAATACGGTTGACCCTGACCACACGGAAGTTCCACGTGCCACCCCCACCCCTGCAGTTGAAAATCTGCATCTAGCTTCTGACTCCCCAAAATCTTAACTACAAAAGGCCGACTGCTGACCAGAAGCCTCACAGGTAACTCGGGCGGTCGGCTAACACACCCCTGTGCGTTACATGTACTCCACCTCCTGTGTTAAGTAAGCTAGAGAGAAAAATTGAAGAAAATCATAAGAAAAAATACATTTAAGTGCTGTCCTGCACTTATCAGAAAACACCCCCATGTAAGCGGACGCACGCAGCTCACCCCCGCGTTGTTCAAGGGTCAAGTGCAGTGCCTGCCAACTGTTGGGGCGCTGGGGCAGGCGGGCTGGGGGCCTGCACGGAAGCACACGCCCCGGTCCTGGCATCCTTGGTAGGACAGGACAGGAGCACAGGCAGGTCAGCTGTCTGACTCCTGCGCCCAGCATGCCTTTCTTTCCTGAAGAAACTGAGTGTCAGAAATCTGTGAGGTGCAAAGTCACAGAAAGTGTGTGAGTTGGCTCCTTTAAATGTAGTCAAGCGTTCACCAGAGGCTTTGAGAGTCCCTGAGTTTCACTCTGGGTAAAATATGTCAGTTATACCCCAAGTACGACCTCAACCATGTAAAATTACACAGGTAAGTAAAAGGCTAAAAGAAAATCACTGTAATGTAATTGGTAAGATGGGGGGTGGGGTGCTGGGATTACGGGCAGCACCGATTTTCTTCTTTACGCCTTTCTGTATTTCCAGTTGTGGAAACGAACAGGTATTTTCCAGAAGGCTGAGTCCACTGCCGGGGGGCCCCACCCTCATGCCGCGTTGTACACGAGCGTGAAAGCCAGACGTGCTGCGGCTCTTGGGACAGGGGCGTCCGGGGGGCGGGGAGGGTGTTTGCTGAGGTCCGGCCACCCAGTGAGGGTTCAGGGAACAAAGGCCGGGCAGGCTGGCCGGAACCAGGACCACGGGCAGCAGCCCCCTTCCCTGCCTGGCTGCTGGGCGCCGCAAGCCCACAGAAGGCGGAGCTCTGGCCAATGGACCCCTGAGTCCTGTGAGGGGAAAGAGCCAGCAGTACCACAGGGCACCGAGGTCACAAAGCCCCTGCCAGGGCCACCACCTGACGTGCCTCGCACTCGACAGAGCAGAGCGACATCCGAGCTCCACCTATGGCGCTGGGCCCTTCGTGTCCACCACGGGATGGACCCCACCAGCCTCCCACGCAGGGCCCACGGGCCTCGTTTTTGACAGCAGCCTCTTACTGGGGCCTGCGGTATTGTCTCTCATCGGTGCTGAGGTGACTTCCCTTTCACAGACGAGGGGACTGAGATTTAGTGACATGACGTCACCAAGTCTGGTAAGCGCTGCGTCTGGATTCTTAGGGTCACACCTGGTGAACACCCTGTTCACGCCGTCCCACTCCCACGTGGATGTTCCGACTCGTTTCAGGACCAAGACCGACACCCACGGACTCTGCCCCCCGGTCAGCTCTCTGTACGCCTCCCTCCAGCACGCGGGCCATCTCGGGGAGGACGGCGCCTTCTCTAAACTCAAAGCCTCATTTCAGGCCCTGAAGTGCGCTCTGGGACGGCGCCCTCACGTGGGAGACCCCAGCCAGGTAAAGTGAGGCCCACACAGAAATGGGTGTCCGCGGAAGAGACGTTGGAGGGGCAGCGCGGCAGCAGTCCTGGGGTCGCATGGGCAGCGGGCCTCACGGGCCAGGCGGGCAGGGATTCAGCCCCGCCCCTCCCAGACACGGCCCGGGCCTGGCCCCCAACTCACCCACCACTCTTGGTCCTCCTCCCCATCCACGATAATCACGTCCCCCTCGGAGAACGTCAGCTCGTCTGGGTTGTCGGCCACACAGTTGTAGAGAGCTTTGACCCGCTTGGGCTTTAACTTGGTCTGATCGGGAAGAGGAAGTGTCAGAGGTCAGTGTGGCACGGAGGCTTCAACTCCTGGGGCAGAGGAGGGGGCCGCCTTGTTTCTAACTCATCCCAGGGGTCCTAACCCCAGGCCCGGGAGCCCACACGTGTCAAGCTGGGTGGATCGTGTAGCTCGGGGCTGGGGGACTTCTAGGAGGCCCAGGGGAAAGCTAAGCCATCCCAGCGGAGTGCAGAGCGCTTGGAGTCAGGCGGCCTGGTGCCTGGGCGCATGTGGGGGTCAGTCCTGGAGCTGTGTTGGGGGTGCTGAGCCCGCCGGCTGGAGAGCTCTGGGCTCGTGTCTCGCCCAGATCCAGGCAGAGGCCTCCCACCCACCCCCCCAGGGGAAGAGGGAAAGACCTGTTTCTTTGGAGAGTCTGCTCACTGCCGGCCCGAGCCGAGAGGCCGGAAAGGAGGGGCTCTTCCACTTACTGTCTGTGACTTCCTGGGCATGGGGGCTGGGGGCTGCAGGGCCGCAGCATTGCACAGCGGGCCCAGAGCCTCGGGTCCAGAGAGCTCCACTCCTGCAGGGCCAGTAAGAAGCAACGTCACAGTATGCCTCCGGCGTGACCAGGGAGCTGCAAACAATGACTGCAACTGCCTCGCCAGCCGGAAAGGCAGGTTTCCAGAGATTTCCGGATCTATGGAGGGGAAAGCCCCTCAAAGGCCCAAGTGCCTGTGACTTCCAGGCAGCCTGTCCCGTGTGCAGGCATGTGAGTGTCACGGAGTGGGACAGATGTCGCCAGCTCCTCCACAGGCATGTGGGTCCCTGCCTGGGCCTCCCCGCCCGGCCCCCACGTGAAGGGGACAGGAAGGCAGGACCCAGTCCAGAGCAGCAGGGGCTCCAGGGAAGACAGGGCACGTCACGGCCGCGGCCGGGAACCCCTCCCACGCTGCCCCCATGGAAGCAGCAGTAACCCTGGGTCCAGAGGAAAGAATTACCAGGTCCTCTCGGCTGGCCTTTGTTGATCAGTGGGGTCGACTTGTCAGCCCTAAAAAAAGAGGAAAGTAGATTTACTGATGCCTGAGGCCCCCCCAGGCACGTTCTTGACCCCCACCTCACCCCCTTTCCAAAGGAGCCACCTGTGCCATCTCAGACTGAAGTGAAGAAAACATAACACCGAGTTTATGCCTATTTTGGAGAAACTGAAAAGACTCACAGGAAAGGCCTGATTCTCGAAGACACCAGTCAGCAAACCATTTTTCTGAAGGGCCAGACGGTACATGTTCCAGGCTCTGGGGATGAAACCCCACGCCGCCACCACAGCACCCGCCGCAGAGAACGCGGAAACCCGCGGGCAGGGCCCTGCTCGCAAATGCTTTGTTTGTGGGCACGGGCGTCTGAACTCCACGTAACTGTTGTGTGTCATGACAGAGACTTCTTTTGGGTTTTCTCAATCATTTAAAAAACCGAAAACCATCTTAGCTTGTGGGCCATACAAAAATAGGCGTGGTGGGGGGGGTCCCTGGGTGGCTCAATGGGTTAAGCCTCTGCCTTTGGCTTGGGTCATGATCTCAGGGTCCTGGGGTCCTGCTTCTCCCTCTCTCTCTGCCTGCCTGTCTACTTGTAATCTCTGTCAAATAAATAAATAAAATCTTAAAAAAAAAAAAATAGGTGTGCGGCTGATGAGGCCTGCTCTGAGAGAACACGTGTAAAAGCCCAGAAGTTGACCCAGGGTGGAGCTTCCTTCACCAAGCAGCCCCAGCAGCTGGCTGTGGCTGCTTCATAACAGAACCCTCCAGGCTGCGAGGACAGGCCTCCACCCCCTGAAGTGGTCTTGGAGCTAACCTAGCATCACCCACTCTGTCCCCCTCCCCAGCTCTCCCTTTGGCCACACAAGAGAAGCCGCTCCCAAGAAGCAGGTAAGACACTGGACAGGGAACACTCCCAGCACAGCCGTGCCCAACCCCAGGCACTGGCAGCCAACACCCCTTGTTCTTGGAGCTGCCCGCCACCGCCAGGCTCGCATCCAGAAATTCAACACGGGAGCCAAGGAGACCGTGGACGCGCTGCTCCCAACAGGGAGGCGAGGATGTACACGTTACATTGTCGAAAGAGACCTTACTTACAAAGGAGCATTAAAAAAGTTCTGAGTCTTCTGCTTAAAAAAGGCAGACTGAAATACATTTACTCCCACTTTCTCCCAAGGAAAAGATCAGAAAAAACCGAAACCAAAAGAAGTACAAAGAGAACCTGAAGAGGAAACATTCTGGAAGTGGCCACCAGAGGGACAAATCCTAACCAGGCCAGCTCGCCTGTGGAGGGGGACCCCGCACACTGAGGAGGCCCTGAAGGACCCCCATCTGTGCTCTGAGCCCCCAAAGCTTATAAGCTCCGGGGGGGTGGGGCGGGTAGAGCTCGGCAATAAACACAAAGATTGGCCCCAGATATGCTCAAGGAGGTGTGGAACCCCTGGATTCCCAGCCCAACCCTGAGTAGCCTCGCAACTACCCTCTCTCAACCCACTGCAGACAGAAGTTTCTGTTCTTGGAGAGGGCAGAACAGAGGGTGTCTGGATTAGGGGGTACACCAGTGCAGTTTTGAGGAGCATCTTTAAAAAAACGGGGACTAAGTGTGCTGGGGTGGCATCTGACTCCTGATGTCAGTTCAGGTAATGATTTCAGGAACGTGAGCTCGAGGCCCACATCAGTCTGCTTGAGATTTTCTCTCTTCCCTCCGCCCCTGCCCCCACCTCTCTCTCTAAAAAAAAAAAAAAAAAAAAAGGAGGGGAACTAAGTAAAAGCTCAACTTTATTTCTTTATTCAACTCCTAGAAAACCTGATCCCTTCAGGCGAGAGACAAAGACTATTCTCTAAGGAACCTGAGTTGTTCTTCAGGGTTTGCCAGTGAAACTGCCCAGTGAGACGCTCACCAGCCAAGCCCACGCTGGCGGCTCTGCGCGGAGGGTGCGGTGTGTGGTCCGTTTTAATGCCACAGCGAAAGTGGCAACTCTGGGGTAGGGAACGCCAGATTTACAGGAAAGAGCCTCTAACATAACAGAAGTGAAAACAAGACAAAGGACATGGAAGAAACAAATTATTCAGAAAAGCAAAAGCTAACATAAATGAAAACACCGCCCCAAACCCATCATTAATAATCTGAGAGGAGAGAAAATGACTCCATGAAACAAACAGGATACTATTACCTTGAAAATTATGACACCTGGAATGAAAACTCAGTAAAAGAACGGGAAGAAGCAAATGAAGAAACTCTCCTAGAAGGCAGACTTAACAAGCAAGCCAGCCCGCCAGCACTGCAGAAACGGAAGCTAGAAGGTGGCCCAGCGCAGCCCCCTCTGGGCTATACGGAGCCGCATTTCCAGCCCCGGCCTCCAGGTGGAGCCCTGGGACTGGCTCTGGTCCCAAGCACCCTTCTCAGCCGCTCCTTAAGGAAGTAAAGGGCAGGAGTGGATGAGGAAAGTGGCACCAGCAGTAGAAGGGGGTCCGGGTCTCCCACTCACCCCTCAGGGCCGCTGCTTGTACAAGCAACAGAAAGGGCACTGAGCTTCGTGTAAGAAGTCAACTGCCGTATGTTAAACCACGGAGACTGACTCAGGGAAAGTCTGTTAGAGATGTCAGCTTATCAGAATAAAGAGAAAAGATAATACACATTCAGGAAAGGCCAAGGAAGTCTGACATCTGAATAATATGAATTCGATTAAAAGCAATAAAAGAAGAAAACAGAAATTAAGACATTAAGAAAAATCAACGAAATTTCTTAGAACTGAAGGATATAGTTTCTATCCTGAAAGGCTCCATCATCTACCTAGCGGCCTGGGGAGTGACAGCCTCAGCAGGGACAAGAGGCCTGACGGGGCAGGGAGAGAGCCCCACCAAGGTGAAGAAGACCTCCACAGCGCAGAGCTCAGCAGGGAGAGGAAGAGATGGAGGCAGATACGGGAGCCAGATTTCTCACCACTGCAAAAGGGAGTAAGGAGCACACAGAGAGAGAGGATGAGAATGAACCCTGTGGTGCTTTGAAAACACTGCCCCCAAATTCTTTTCTGAGATCTGGAATCTGCGACCACCCTGTGCTCCTGCACTGTCCCCACCTCAACCCTGAGTCTGGACTCTGCTGCTGTTTGACCAGGGACACAAGGCAGAATTTTCCAGGGTCGTGCCTGTTTCTTGGGACTCGTGTTTGGGCCCAGCCACTATGACTTGAGGAAGCTCTTGCCACATGGAGAAGCCATGTATGGGTAAGTATTTCAGCCAAGAGCCCCAGCTGACAGCCAGCAGCAACCACCAGATATGTGCAGCAGAGAGGGGAATGGGCCCGTCGACTACGAGTCACTTCCTGTGCCAATCCATGCCCAGTCTCTGAGACTTCTCAGTTAGGGCTCCAGATCTTGTGGAGAAAAGACAAGCTACCCTCGCTCTGCTGATCCAAATTCCTGACAGACACCTGGGAGCATCATAAATGGTTGTGTCTTAGGTCAGTAAGTCTTGGTGTGGTTTGAAACAGAGACAGTGTGAGCTCATGGACTTCAAGACGAGATGGAAATACAGAGATAAATGTCCCTCCTAAGTGTGTATCTACATGGATGATCACCTACACATACTCGTGTGTGTATCCCTGGTTCTGACCACCCAGGGGCCTGCCTGGGAGCAGCAACCCTCCGAGAGCCATGAGCACAGGAAGCACTCAGATCTTGGCTTTGAAAAATCACTGCCACTAAAAGAAACCATTTCCCACCATCAGGATTCAGCCTGAGACCATGAACTGGATCCCTCTCTGGTAAAGGATGTTCTATGAGCAAGTGGCAAACCTGGGGTTGGGGGGGCTGAGAGTAGGAAGGTAGTAATGCGTCTTTGCTCATTCTCTGATTGTGCTGGCTGTACTGTGTTGATGCAGGAAAATATCCTAGTTTGTAGGAAATACACGCCCCACACTGCAGAGGAAGCAAGATAACCTTGTGCGTGAGCAATAAACTGGAAGTAGAGGCCCGGCATCTCGACTTTAATTCCCCAAAACCCAGTGTCTCCTGAACAGAGTCTAAATTCATTATGTGGATGTAAGATATACATTTGTGTGAAATTTTTACAATTTAAAAAAATGCTTGATAAGTTATTTTTAAGACACTTGACCCTGATGAATTCGTTAGGTGACACCTGAGCTCAAATGTTATACCGTAGAAGTGCTGGAGGTTTCTAATGTTTGCCCAGAAATTTCAGCAGATGAAGTAATGGGGCCATTGCCACTTGGAAGCTCCCTGAATGCAAGAAGCAAGGATGACAATTCAGCCAGACCCTGGGGGGCTTGAAGACAGGCAGTTACCCGGGGGCAGGCCTCTTCTGGGGGAGGCGGCTGGGCGGCTGGGGCGGCAGGGGCGGGGGCAGGGCCTTGTTCAGCGGGATCCCGGGCTGGGCCGGCTTGCTCTGCTGGCTCAAGGCTTCCATCACACTGGGCGTTTTTGCTACTGGAGGGGGCGGTGTGGGAGCCAGGGGATCTGTGGAAAGAGAAAAGGAGAGGAATACAGAGGGTCAGGCTTCGTACCATCCCCAGCCTTCTCATCAGAGGCTCTCTGGTAAGGGCTTCTTCTTCTTCTTTTTTTTTTTTTTTTTTTAAACAGCGATTTCATAAGGGAAAACATCCTCCTTTCACTGTAGATTTTTAGAAAACCGTATTGGCACGGAGTCCTTCTAAGCCTTAGGTTAGGATTAAAATGTTTCTATGAGCCCATGAGGATCTTTCTCTGTGGAGAAGCCACCCTGAGACCTGGAGAGACAGCGGCAGGGTCTTGCCCCTGGTCCCACCCCCACCAGGTGAGCTGGGTCCTCAGCTGACCCATGGGTCCTCCCCATTCCACCAGGCTTCCAGCAGGGCAATCAGAGAGGCCTGCAAAGAACTAACAGTAAAGCCTCCATAGTCTGTGAGGGGAGCTGCAGGGCAAAGAGGTAACTGTTTCTCCATAGACTCGGAAACTTAGAGAGTTGGTAAGGCAGGGAGCTGGGCCCTAAGCCCCAGGCTCCTTTCCCTCCTTGCCCCTCTGTGACAAACATTAGTGCTGTTCCCCAAGATCCAGTGTCCTCACGCCCCATCCTTGTTGAGGCCACCGCCATGCTCAGGACAGGACAGGGACCCCAGGAGCCTTGCAGGTCCCCCGTGCACGCGCACAGGGCACTGTCTGCAGCTGCGGCCGGGCGCTGCTGAGGTTAAAACCCACAGGAACAAGCCGGGTATGACCCACTGCTCTCCGAGCCCTGCCCAAGAGGCCGGAGCTCCTCCTGCCAAAGCCCAGCCACACGGAGCAGGAAGGGGACAGGCTCAGGGCTGGCCCCACTGATCCCGTGAAGACATTCTTCTGCCCCAGCCCCCTCCCCCCAGCCCTGGGCCTTTCACCCACGTGTTGACATCAGAGAAAAACACAAACCAGATCACATCCACATGACTGTGCCCAAATACCGAGAACCACCAAATGGCCAGAGGAAGTGAAGCCCTGGGCTGGCGGGGAAAGGACAGAGTGTAGCTCGAGGGCTGGGGGAGACAGAGGGGAGCGCGTAGGCCCCCCGGGGCGAGGGTGCGGACAGGCAGCAGGCTGCGGCCGGGCAGGGCGGCTGGAGGGGCTGCCAGGGGCACACACGGGGTCGGGCTCCGGACAGCGTCTGCCTGTGGGCGTGCGGCTTTGCAGCTCTCCCCACGCGGCTGCCAAAAGCACCCCCCAGCCATCCAGATCCAAGAGCCCACTGGCAAGAAAGGAAAAAGGCGAGAACGTACTGGTAGATGTCACGCGGAGAGGGGGCAGCGGTGGATGGACAGCTGGCGGATCTGACGAAGATCGCTGCCTGCTTGCACCGTCCACACTTACAGAGTTTGTCTTCCACAGGGCGGTAGCGGAGGAGGCGGTCTGAACTGCACACGCATGCACGTGCACACGCACACATGCACACGCGCGCACGCACACGCACAGGAAGGCACGCACAAGCACAGAACAAAAACAGAAACAGAACACTGCATTATTGATCCTCTCACTCGCAAAATGGTCGGTATGACCCTTCTAGAACAGCGTTAAGACCACAAACAGAATCCTAATTTAAAAAAAAAATTCCTGTCTCTGGCATCTGATGGACGATATAGACAGACTAGACCAAGGATGCTTCTGGGGGAATTACCAGCTGGTTTTCACAGTCTTGATTTTCTTTCTCAAATAGAAATATGGGTTTGAAGAGGGAAACAAATAGCCACAGTGACACGTCCCGAGCACGGGGCTCAGGCTGTAGGCTCCCGCGGCTGTGCGCGTCCCTCCCTGGTCGGGGGAGCATGTGTTCTCAGAGCACGAGGAAAGAAGGGTGCAGACAGAGACCGGTGAAGGGCTCCCCACCTCCTGCAAACCTTTCTGGCTAAAAGCCAGCACGCATGACACCCAGGAGGCTCAGCTGACACACGGGGGGGACAGCAGCGCCAAGGTCGCTGTCCTTCCTCTGCCCCCACAGAGCTCCGTGCACAGGGGTGACCTGTGCCTGAGGCTGTGCGTAGCCCGCACAGGGGGCCAGGCCTGGGGAGAATGTGGGCACACCCGCATGGGGCGTTTCTGCTGTGCCCAGTGTCTGTCCTGGTGCGGGCAGTGCAATGCTAACTCCCTTTGCGGTTCTGTTGGGCGGGACTCGCTGCAGGGCCAGGTGTGGCCTAGACGGTCAACAACAGGGACTCTCTGTGGGGCTACTGGGATGAAGGACTGTCTACACCATCAGAGGAGGACAAAAAGCTAACTACACAGATAGTAAAAAAAGAAAAAAAAAGTAAGAAAAAAATCCCAAACCCTCTCATTCTAAGACTTTACAAAACCAAAAGCAAAAGAAAAAAGAAAAAAAAAAAAAGGAAAAAAATTGAACAGTTTTCTGTTCCTATTACATGACGAACAGAGCAAAATAGAATCTTCCTCCCATGACACACAAGTCAATAAAAGCCACTAACGGGGTGGAGGGGACCACATCACTTTAGCTCTGGATTACAAAATTAATCCACGCACACAGGGTGTGGGGGAGGCTGCGGAGACAATAAGAGGCCCCACAAGGACCCGACCGTGGCTGCTGCCCTCAGCCGCCCTGGGCCCCTCCCAGCCAGTGCAAGGAGGTGACAGGGAGGAGGGCAGCCGTGGAACATGGCCTTGCAGCTACTCTCCTGCTCAGGAATGGCTCCCTCGAGCCCAGGGGTGGCACTGCCCGGGGTGTGGGCACACAGGGGCCACGGCCTATATGGGGGAGGTGAGGCAGCTGCTTCTGGGGCTGGCCTGGGCAGCGCCTGCTCTCCTCTCAGGGGCTCATTCTTGGGGGTGTGAGTCAGTGACCTAAACAACAGGCCCAACAACCTTCTCTGGCCTCCCTGAGAGACCTCCCTGGGTGCTGGAGGCAGGATCCTGTGGGGGGTGAGGCACAGGGCCAGCGGATGGCAGCTGCCATATTCGCTCCCCCACCCAAGCCACAACCTTCAGTCACACCCCCTCCCAGAGAGCAGCTGCGGCCCCAGTGCACTGCAGGACCTCTTTCTGGACCAGCAGCAGCCCACAGCAGCCACAGAGCCCGGACACCACACCCTGTGGGCTCTGGCCCTCCCTCTCCTGGGATGCCCCCTAGAGGCCACTGGCCATGAGCTGTGCTGGTCACTTGCTGGACCCACCTTCAAGGAGCAGAAGGGTCAGTTGGCCCTCAGCCCTGGGAAACTCACTTAACTTTTGGGGGCCTCAGTTTCCATTTTCATAAAAAGAAAAACAAGCATCTGTTGAGTCAAACTCATTCTGCTGGGACCGAGCAACTAAGGTAAGTGTAGCTGAGTATCCTTCCCCAAATTAGCATATTTTTATCTTTCATTTCATGGGGATTACAGATAAAAATTAATCAGAGGCACCACAAGCTGGCTGACTGCAGGCTGGGTGAAAGGAAACAGGAGAGAATGCAGGCGGGCGGGGAGAGGGGTAGTGAGTGGTAAAAGCAGAGAGAAAAGGAACAGAAAGAAGATCTGCAAGAAAATGTCTCGCAGGACCAGCATCACGAGCCGAGCCACGCACCTCAGGCCTGCCCGGGGGAGTCCCTGCACTCCCCACGTGACAAGCAGATGCCACACCTCTGCCCAGGACAAGGATCAAGTCAGATGCTCTACCACCATTCAGCACCCTAAGAACGAAGAGCTCCTTTAGGGTACCAACAACACAACTCTAAGACAAAAAATCCCCAAATGTCACCTAGCAGGGGGCACGGCAACTATAAACTTCTCAAAGCAAACACCAGACCACACCCTCTGAGCTACGGCCGTGCAGTACCTTTGGCAACATTTCGTGGAGGCAGCGGGGGGGCGCTGGAGGTGCTGGGGACCACAGGCTGGGTGGGAGGCGGGCTGCCGCTGAGGACCGCGCCATACGTCTCATTCTGCAAGATGCTGGGCACGAAGGGCCTCTGCTTGTCCTTGGCCAGGCTGGCAGCGTCTCTGGCCAAAGACGCGGCGTTGGACTGCAGCTGGCCGGAGCCCAGCTGGTAGAAGCTGACGGGCCGGTCTTCTCGCCGACTGGGGCTGGGCTGCAGAAGGGTGGGAAACGCACACACACCAACCCCTTGGTCACAGCATCCAGGCCATGGGTGACTGCCTCGTGCACATCGCGGCTACCTGGGCAGGTGCGTTTTGGGCTCTCAACTGTAACATGAGAGCTGTGAGATTTGAAAGTTCCTTTTATCTTCATGGAGACACCCTCCCCCACCCCCTAGTGCCTCAAATGCCATGATTTGTAATTTACAAGCCACCATTCTGGGAAGGATTGGGAACACAGTCTGTTTCACCTTCACTCGACGGCGTTATCTTAACCTACCTCTGTTTCCACCGCACTTCCTGTTTGTAAACACACTTCCAACTGAGCACCCCGCTGTAGCCAACCCCCAAAAGCTGGGCGCCAAGTTCCGGGGACATCAGGTGCTCTTCCCAAATGAAATGAAGTCTCGCGATTCCTCTAACTCAGGGATCAGCAAACCATGGCCCGTGGTTTTTATAAATAAAGTTTTTATAAATAAAGTTTTATTAGAACACAGTCGTGCCTGGTCATTTAATATATTGTCTATAGCTGCTTTCAAGCCACTGGCACGTCTGCGTGGTTGCAGTAAAGATGGTGATATTTTAGGCCCACAAACCTGAAATATTAATTATTTGACCCTTTTGGTTTGCTGACCCTTGCTCCCCATGAAATGAGGACTCGTGTAAACCAGATCTAATTCATTTCCAATATCAACTTCATTCTAAGAGCTACAATCTTGAGCAACTACCTTAACCTTGCTGACCCGACCCCTCATCTTTTCAGTGGGTTGAACTGTGCTCCTCTCGCACAGCCCCCCGGGCTTCCAGGAACAGTACTAGCTGTCATACCGCTCTGCCCCTCGCAGGGCCACCTCCCACTCAAGGCTCTGGCCAACCCAATGGCCTAAACTCAGCTGAGCTACGCAGAACCTGATGGCTAGTTCTCTTCACACACATTTTAAATTCAACAAAGCCCAAGGCTGTATGAACTATAATTCCCTCTGCTGGAAACAGAGCAAGTGGGAGGAAGAATGTGAGCTCTTGCCGTCAGACTTTTAAGTGGACTATGGGACCGGCTGTATTGGTTTGACCTGGGGCTGATTATTTCCAGTCTTTTTTAGGATCGGTAAGTATAACAACAGTCAGTACCTCTCACTTGGACACCATTTTATAGCTAACTCAGTGGAGGAGTTTCTTAGTCAAAGAAATAGCAAGTATGAATGTTAACTGAGCCACACACAAGGACAGTCAAGGTTTTGGAAATGCCATAAATATATATAATCAGACATCAGGACATTCGAGTCCTACAGTAAACAATGGGAAATGTGACACGGCATTCCCCACAAATTTCCCAGCAGCTAGGAGTGGGGGCTCTGGAGTCAGTCTGCTGGGGTATGACTAAGCTCTGAGACCCACGTGAAGATGGTAACCTGCCAGGGGTCCCCCAAGTGTGCCAGGTAGAGTGTCATGAGCAGGGAGCTGGACTCTGAGACCAGCTGCCCTCTGGCCTCAAGCTGGTCTCTAAATATTGGCTTCGTGACTGAGTCAACCTCTCCTGAAGCTTCCATGACCCAATCGGATACAGGAGAAAGTTGGACCCAGAGCTCTAACGGTCATTTAATTCTAGTGAAGGTTTTAAAGATCAGCTAGTTGAACCTGACCTGTGATACTGGGGAGCCCTGGCTCTTGACCACATCCACGGCACGGGGCTTCCTCTAAATCCCACTAGAAACAACCCCTTCCCCAATATCTTTCCCTTAGATCTAAAGGTGAGCAGCTGATGACGACCCAAGTAACGTTGTTGTACATCCACACGCACAGGAGCTGGGAGGCGGGCACAGCTGCGGGACAGGCAAAACCAGCTACTGAGATTGGAGCAAAGAGTTAACTCGACGTTTTGTACAAAACCACCTTGTGCCCTAATCTCACTCTGGGGTCCACCCTGCTCGGAGCGAAGCCCATCAGAACCTCCCGGACAATCTGCGGCCCGGCACCGACCTGCAATTTCTCGTCCACATCGTCGTCGCTCTCATCCAGGTCTTCGTGGAGCAGTCGCCACTCGTATTCGACGTGGACGTGCGAATTAAACCTCCCAGACAAGGCCTGGGTCAGCTGAAAAGAGGAAGGGCTGTCGGCGCCGGCGCCCGTGAGCTGGGCACCCATGGGCGGTGGTGGGAGGCACGGAGGGGGGAGGCAGGGACCCTTCAGGGCAAGGCCAGCCCACTGAGACCCCACTCCCTACCTTCACCGAGGACCTTGAAACGCCCATTTAGTGCTCTGTGAACTGTAAAGCACCGTGCGCAGGCCAGGGCTACCGGAGATCTAAAGGCTAATGGCCAGCCTGCAGGTGCTGACGGGCACCGTGGGAGCAAACTCAACAGAGGATAATGCGTGTGTCACTAACTGGAAACCAGCCCCCCGGCCCGCACGAAAGATTAAGGCCCGCAGAGCAAGGATGTGAGTGAGTGTTTTCGCCGTTCTCTCAAGGAAGGCAGATACCCAATTCCATGTGAGGTAACAGGAGAAGCGAATTCGTTAGACTCAGTGGGAGTCTTAGCATGTTAGCCCTTAACTCTCTCCCCAGCCAGAGTAGCTGTATGCGCTTGGACAAGGTCCTTAACCCTCCTGCGCCTGTTTCCTCATCTGTAAAATACAGCTAACAGAAGAAACCAAGTCAGAAGGGCTATCAAAATTAAATCAGCAGATATCAAGTATTTAGCATTGAGCACCCCTCACTCTCCTACCCTTCCACAGCAGTCACTGTTAGTTCGATTTACTGCGCACTTGCTCAGTGTCACAAAGCGCGACGCTAATTCTGAACGGCTATAGCGGACTCCGCCTTACAAATACGGAACCAGTGGGAGAGTTGGCATCGGCATGACTTCCTCAGCTCCCAGCGGGAGCCCCTATGCTGCCTGACCCCGTGGGCTCTGTCCACTGGCCACACTGCCCTTCCTTCTAGAACGGGACAGGAAAAGATGGTGCAGAACAATCCAGATGATCTGGGACTGGGGAACAAAATCCGCACACCAGCTTTGGATGATGCCGCAAGGGGAAGGGCTGGCAGCTCAGAGACTCCAGAGAAGGGGCAGAGCGGCGGTGGCCTCCGGATCTCTGCTCCATTTGCCCCAGGCAATGCCATGGCCACCAGCCACGTGTCCAACCAGCAAATTCCAACTTGTGTTCCAAGCGTCACTATGATGGGGGTGATCCCCTCATCTCAAAGGACTCCCTGAGTATGCTTTCTCCTGCTTGTCTCGTCTAGGGTCCAAATGTGGGAAGACTTTCCTCCCAGAGGGCAGGGCCCCTCCCCGGCCCAGGCAGGGCGCCTTCACCCATCCGAGCCGGAGGGAGACTCACCAGCTCCTCGCAGTGCTCGTGCCTGAGGCGTCTAGCAATGTCCAGGGGCGTCTCTCCCGACTCGTTGGCTAAAAGGCAGGACAACACATGGAGGTGTTACGGCAAAAGCAAGCAGAGGTCTGACATCAAGAGGCAGTTACAAGACACAGGGAGGCAGCACGAAGTGGAAATGAGCTACACAGTGTGGGGCAGGGAGGCCTGACCGGTCTCCCCATCCTAACACACCGCAGCAGCGTATGGTTGGAAAGATTTTAAGACAGTCTGCGCTGACCACAGAAGCAGAACTGAACCCCTCCTCAGCAGTCTGTGAATCTGAAATTGTGTATTTTCTTCCAAATAAGCATCTATCAGCAAGGTTTGCTTATTTGAAAGAAAGAAAGAAAGAAAGGAAGAGAAAGAAAGAAAACTTGGCCAAGCAGGCATGCGCCGCCTTTCTGTCCTTTGCTCTCTGTTCAACAGTTCAAGAACACTTCCCTCAGGGCACAATCACAGCTGCCTGCCCTCGGGCGGCTGCCAGTGCATCAGGGTCCCCTGGTAGAGGGAGGGACGAAGGCCCAGCAGATCAGGGTCCCTTGTGGAGGAGACTCGGTGCCAAGAGGGGCAGAGAACAGTGACTCCCCACCGCCTGGTAAACCTCCCACCCAGAGCCAGAAAGGAGTTAAGGGTTCTGAAGAGGAGGGCGAGATGCCCCAAACCTCGTTCAAGGTCACCTCAGCACAAGGAACTTGTGCAGGGCCCATGCTCTGCCTCTCATAAGCTCTATGAAGCCTGCCCATGACGGGAAGTCTACGTCCCAGATGGAGGGAACCCGCTGGCCAATATGGGACCATGGCAGCCTTGGCAAGCACACGGGAGAGGCCCCCCGACTTCAGATGGCAGGATTTGGGTGTCCCTGGCGGACGGGAGCCCAGGCCGGCGGCCGCCCTCTCACCGGTCTCAATGGAGGCCTTCCCCCGTAGCAGGAGCTTCAGGCACTCGGCGTTGTCCGTCAGGCAGCAGTAGTGCAGGGCCGTGCTGCCCTTCCCTGTCTGCTTATCCAGATTCCCGCTGGCCAAGAACAGGGACCGAGGATGGGAAAGATCGGTGAGTCACAGGCCAGGGGACCAGCCCTGCCTGGCTGGGGAGGGGCCTGGGCACGTGAGCAAGAGAGGCCTCGAGCCACCGAACACTGCGGCGGAGTTCTTGCAATCCTCCTCCAAGGTGGTGGGACAGGCCGGCCCCGCTCGCGCGGGTGGGGGGGGTCTCGGTGTGAGGCCAGCAGGGAACCAGCAGTAAGAGCGCGAAGGCCGGAGCAGGGCACCGTGTTGTTGCTGAGCGGGGGCCGAGGGGGGCTCAGCCTGCTGCTTCCTGGGCCAGCCCCGAACCGCAGCATCCCTCCCGCTTCCCCATCAGCACCCAGAGCCTGAAGTGTCCGTCTGGGCCTCAGGAAGCCCGTGGGACTTGCCATCCTGTCCTGCAGAAGGACAGGGAGAGCTTTTTTTCATCCTATTACTGACATTCTTGCCAGGAAGGGGAAGAGCCACTTTCCCAAAGCCCAGAATGTGCAAACGCCTGTGTGTCTGTGGGCCCCAGGCTGCCCTGCAGACAGCCAGCGGGGCAGTCCTGAGGTCTCTAAAGCCCTTCTGGTGAAACACAAGTGCGGGTTACCCCAGAAGACACTGCGCTTCTCTTACAAAGCCACTCAGCCTACTGGGGGAGGCAGCCCTGAAACATGGCTGTCCTTCTGAGCAGGAGGGACCATGGGACTTTGTGGCCTGTGGAAGGACACGTGGCGGGGGGCACTGTCCCAGGTGATACCCACTGCTTTCATCAAAACAGAACATGCTACACTCTCGGGGAAAATGAGCCTCATCTTCTGATCTCTCCCCTCTTCCTGCTGCCCTCCTTCTACTCCGGAAGAAACCAGGATTTCCCTTCTCACACTCCAAGAGTTTACGCTGAGGGAGGATGGCGTCATGGGGCTGTTTCATCCACGGTCCACTGAGCCACTGTGACACCATGCGCCGGCAGGCGTCCAGGCCCCGCAGAGGGTGGCTTCCACGGAGTCTGGCAAACTGCTTACCTGTCTTCAGCTCCTCTAACCCTGGTCATCCCCTCCCCACCACGAACAGCAGGGAAGGCCAAAATGCAAACTACGACTTTGCTTTTGCAGGTGGAATTTTTCACTCTGTTTGGCACAATTTCAGTGGCTTTTGACCAGCACCTCCCCCTCCACACACCCCAAACCATGATCAGGGAGTCAAGGTACACCGTGCCGGGCCTCTCTGGTTGGCCGGCTACCCCAGGTGGGTGCCGTACCCGGGGCGGAATGCACACGACAGGACTACGGAGGCCGGGTAAGCAGGCACACACATTCTTGAAAGGGAACTTCTAATTAAAAAACAGAAACAACTTTTCAAACCAAACAAAATGCCCGCAGTCCAGTGATGAGGTTTACGATCCCAGCTTAGGTGGGTGGTCCCAGTATGGATCTGTGCGTCCCTTTTACTGTCCCCACTGCTCAGGGCACCTGCCTAGGTCCAGTGAGACACTCTGAGGGACAAGCATGGGGACGGCTCTGTGCACACCAGGTGGGGGCATGTGGAGGACACAGATAGTCCCCCCGTGCCCAGAATTCAGATGTACGAGCCTGATAGCTCCTGAGTCCCAGATGCTAGAGGACAGGTCTTTCAGGTACCAAGAAGGGTCTCTGTCTTCACACTCTAGGGCTTTTTGGGGACTACTCTCTAATAGCCCACTCCTGGAAGTTCTCTTCCTGTCCCACAGCTCATGTTCAAGACTGGGAAAAAAATCCCAGCATCTTGGCCACATAATGAGGCAGGAACCTGATCCTTCCTTGGAAACACCAGGAAATAAAATCAAACAGCTCCCCTAACTTTAGAACACCTACCTGTTCTGAACTAAAAAGTCTACGATGTGGAGAGAAGTCCGGTCCACCGATCTGACTGCAAGATGGAGGGCAGTTTCATCTGGCTCCTGAAGACCAAACAGAAACATTCCAGAATCCCAAGGGCAGCATTCAGTTTTGTGTCCAATGTAAGTGAAATTGTGTATCTCTCTTCCGAAAGCCTTTTATTCTTTCTTTCAAAACATTAATCTCTAAGACATATAGCCCCCTTAGTCTCCAGAGGAAACTCTGCCCTTGGCACCTACGATTTTGAGACTGGTCCTCCTTCCTCCACAGTAAGTAGTGAGAACTTCAGGGTCTCATCTCAGAGTTCCTCAACCTCTAAGTCCCTACCCCAGAACCAACAGCATATAAGGGTGGGGCCCTTTTGTTGAAGGACACCAGGAAGGTTCCCCAGGCCTCCTGTACACAGTGTCTGATACGTGTTTGTGTTTTCTATTCCACACGTACAGACAGGGCTGTCAGCGTTAATGCCCACACTGCCTTCGGTTTAAACCAGGGGACACCTGACCCCAATGCCTTTTCTAAAAGTGAGTTCTGGCAGGTGGGGAGGACAGACCGGATGAGGGCTGTCTCAGGTAGGTGGGTAGGCGAGAGAGCAGGAGGCAAAAGCAATATCCATGCAATGGGGAACATGGGGCAAAGAGGGGTGTGTCCCCAATCCACCTGCCTGGCCTGCCCAGCCAGCCAGGGCCACCCACTGCCCCCAGCCTCCGCCGTGCTCTGGCCGCGGCACAGCTCCCTGCGCCTTCATTACGACGGCAAGGAGCTTTCATGGGACTGCGTGTGTGTCTCTCCAAAGTCACCCATGGAAGAGAATTAGGATACATGCCAACCCAGGACACTGGTAACCGGTTTCCTGTGGACTTGATCCTGACAGTAAGACCCCACCCCACCTTGAGACCTCCCTGCTCAACAAGGTTCTCCCAATCAACTGGAGGGTGTCCCTCTTCCGCTCCTCGCTCAGGGAGGAGGGCGCAGGCTGGGGGCTCTCCTTCCCAGGGAGGCCCAGCAGCTGCTACTGAGAGTTCAGATCTCCGCTCACCAGACACAGAACCTCGCGCGGGTCACTCGGGTCCCTGAGAGGACGCTCCCTCCCCACCCAGGATTGGCCTTTCCTTCCGGGGCTGGCATTCTATTTTTGGTTTAAGAATAAACCGCCCACTGGGAGGTGTGTAAGCCTGAGGATTCACAGACCTGTACCCCTGGGGCTAGGAACACATCATAGGTTTAAAAAAAAAAAAAAAAAAAAAGAATAAACCACCCATTTCTTCCCTACAACTCGATGCTATCTTTCTTCCGAGAACTATCCCACTCTGTCAGCATTTCTGATGACACTGCCTTGACACTCCCTCCGCTTTCTCCTCTTTCTTGAGAAGGAGCGGGCCGCACTCTTACATGTCCGTTGGCCAGCGGGATTTTTTCTGTAAGATCCACACCGTCAGCATACGCTTGGAGTAATCCAAAAATATCTCTTGTTTTGACGGCCTCACAAAGGCTGTGAAGCTTTGCTGCGTTATCTGCGTGCCTTTTCCTTGCATATCTCCTCTCGATGTACTTGGCAGTAATGTAGTCCTTTCTGGCATTCCTGAAATCAAGCATAATTGCCTTATAAACGATTAAGGGCCTCTATCAAACATCTAACCTTCAATCATCAGGAACAACTTTTAAAAATCCTGCCCAGCCCCTCCTTGAGGGAAGAGCTGGCGGGTAGGAAGGGGGCCGCTGTGTGACTGTGGCAGCGCCAATGTCAGTGATGCCTGGAGCCCTTTTTTTTTTTTTTTTAATATTTTATCTATTTATTTGACAGAGAGAGAGAGATCACAAGATGGCAGAGAGGCAGGTGGTGGGGGGAAGCAGGCTTCCCGCTGAGCAGAGAGCCCGATGTGGGGCTCGATCCCAGGACCCTGGGATCACGACCTGAGCTGAAGGCAGAGGCTTAACCCACTGAGTCACCCAGGCGCCCCTGGAGCCCTTTTAAGAAGCGCTGCCATCTTCCAGTTTCCAACCCAAGAGGCTTCAAGGCCTGGTGCAGGGTTCCTGGGGCTTACTCAGGGGCCAATGGGAGCTGGCCCAGATAGGCAGACCGGGAGGTCCTCCACAAGGGGAAGACGCGATCTCCTCGGTCATGGGCACTGTGCCTGGCAGGAAAGGCACGCACCACAGGTCTCGTGAACCAGAACAAACTGCCAGTCTCTGCGGTCTATTTTCTGGCCTTCCCGTGGCACGGCGTTCACAGACTCTACCTCCCCACAGAGCATGCAATGGCAGCAACTCTGGGAAGCCAAGAACAGCACAGTTTCAAATCCCGCCCCCACCACACCGACGGGACAAGCATCCCACCCCTGGAGGCATCAAGTCTTATTTGTGCAAGTGTGCAGCACGCCCCCTCATGGAACTGTGACAAGCACGTGCACTGACACTTGCAGGACACGTGGTAGGTCCTCAGGACCCTGGACTTGCTGATGAACTTCAAAGACAGGCAGCAAAGAAGACAGCAGCTCCTGGTCAGGAGGTCTCCGCATTTTACTGCAAGGACCTTAAGGTAACAGCAGATCAATAAAAGGCGTGGAGAGGATTTGTGAATGATGCTAACTTCCCTGTGGCCACCGGGCGAGGTGGTCAGGGAGCAACCCAGAAACGCACCAACGGACAGACAAAATGCGGTCTCTCCACATAGCCGTGTAGGGGCCAGAGTACCGGCGGGCCGCAACCTGGCTGAGCCCTGAAAACACTACTTGGAGTCAGAGGAGCCCCGCAAGGCCACACACTGTATGAAACTGTATCCACGGGACTCCGGGAAGAGGCAAGTCTCTGGAGTCAGAAGGTGGCTTAGCAGGGCCTGCAGTGGAGGGCGAGGAGGGGTATTGCTGGTTAACAGGTGCGGGGGTTTGGTTTCGGGGGAATGAAAATGTTCTAAAATCATGGTGATGGGGCGCCTGGGTGACTCCGTCGGTGAAGTGTCTGCCTTCAGCTCGGGTCATGATCTCAGGGTTCTGGGATCAAGTCCTGCGTCAGGCTCCCTGCTCAGCGGGCACTTCTCCCCCTGCCCCACCCCCTACTCGTGCTCTCTCTCTCTCAAGTAAACAAAATCTTTAAATAAAATCGCCGTGATGCGGGCACACTCCGCGAACACGCTGAACAGTACTGAACTGACATTTAAACAGCTGAACTGAACGCATGTGGACTGTATTTCAATAAATCTGTTAGAAAAAAGCATGTCAGGACAGGGTGTCTGGGTGATGGACGTTGGGGAGGTTTGTGCTATGGTGAGTGCTGTGAACTGTGTAAGACTGATGATTCGCAGACCTGTACCCCTGGGGCAAATAATACATTACATGTTAATAAAAATAATTTAAAAAAATTAAAAATGAAAAAGAAAAAATCGTGTCCGCGAAAACTAAATTCCACCAACACTACAAAAACTTAACTTTAGCCAACAGATGCACAGAGACACGGGGAGAATGGCATGACAGGATCAAGGTCCTGGGCTCCTTTCTAGAAACTACTTTTTCTGGAAAGTGAAGTGCCCTGAAGTTTCAGAAAGTTAGGCTGGGACGCTGAAGGGAAAGCCAGGGCCTTCCGCGTCGGCTCCGAGAGACGGCACAGCCCAGGCTCTCGGCTGGATGGCTGGCTGCTCAGACGGGCTCTGTCGCCTCCCATCAAGGTCACTGCGCAAAGCCCTTTCCGTGACAACACATGCTCATAGGGCTGCGAGAGAGCACATTTAGGCATGGAGCACAGCATTCTAGAAACACCAGCGCGGTATGAACAGGCTTTTAGTGCCAAGTGGAACTGGACGGCTCTTCTCAGCTCCCAACCCACCACCATCCTGCCATCAGGGCTGTGCCAACGGCCTCTGCTGTCCCAACTGGTCACCAAGCCCCTCAGGTCAGCACCCAGGGCCTGGGCTGCAATGGCCCAGGGCCAGGAGCGAGCAGGTTCCCTTCAGGGTCCGAGAGGGTAGCTGGGGTGTCACTCCCCACTGCTGACGACCTGACCTAAGGTGTTTGTGAAATGCAGACTATGAGTACTGTGCTAACTTTATGTGTGTCCCCCCACAGACGTGCACCGCTATAGGCTTACAGGTCGAGTTGACACGTGTAGTCCCATCGGTCATCGTACCAGGGCTATGAACCCTGTCTCCACCTTACAGAGAAGTCAACTGAAGTCTACAGAGGGACATAAGATTCTATTTCCTCACGCAGCAGGCAAGTTCCCGAGGGGGCCTCCTAGCACAGTGTGGCACACAGGGAACGGCTCAGTGACCTCCTGAGCCTGACGACAGGCCTTATCTGACAGTGATTCAAATTCTACCGGTCTCTTATGATGAGTGGTTGGTCTAGATGGCCGTCAAGGCTTGGGGAGTTTCAATAATCCTTGTGGGACCATCACCACGGTGACCTCCCCCGCCTCCATGGGAAGGAGCTAGAGAGATACTGGCCTCTTTACTTATTTTTTAATGTGTTATTCATCCGTCCAGAGCTCTGTGTCTCCTGAAGGTCATCCTTCCCCAAGCCCGGGCACAGACCTGCTTTATGCACCACCATGCTCCATGGCTTTGTGAGGGAAGTTCCCTCCGACAGCGCCAATCCCCTCCCCACCTCTTGCTTTTTGGAAAGGCTTCGACTTTTGGAGAAAAGCAGTGAACTTAGAATAACAACACTTTTGGCCCACGTTCAGGAGAGGTTTCTCGTCCTTCTGAAGGACGGGCCTGTGTCAGGGTCCCAAGTCACACAGGAGGAGCAGCGCGGCCTCTGTAAACAGACATTAACCCACCTGCTTCCCCCTTCCCACCCCTTTCTCTTTTGGCATACCCCCCAATCCCAAATCTGGGGATTCACAGGCCACTAGAGGGTCTCTGGCTTCCCTTTTAACAGATTTATCTGCAGATGGTGTGTTCTCCGGAGATAAAGCCAGCAACGCCACACGCCTTCTCACGTGCTAGTGAATGCCAGCCTGTTTAAGTAGCCACAGAGCTGGGACTTCAGCTTTGACTCGACCATTCATTACGTGTGCACTGAACCCCCACAAGCAACACGCTGGGGCGGGAAATACAAAAGCTAGGAAGATGCAATTTCTCAGAGAACTTGGTACCAATTCCTCAGTATGGTAGGAAGTGGGATGAAGGGTTTTATTTTTTTTTAATTTCTTTTAAGATTTTATTTATTTATTTGACAGACACAGATCACAAGCAGGCAGAGAGGCAGGCAGAGGATTGGGGGGAAGCAGGCTCCCCGCTGAGCAGAGAGCCTGATGCGGGGCTCGATCCTAGGACCCTGAGATCATGATGTGAGTTGAAGGCAGAGGCTTAACCCACTGAACCACCCAGGTGCCCCGATGAGCCAAATGCTACGGGAGCAGAGAGCCTGGTACTCAATTCCACCTGAGCAGGTAGGAAAGCAGGTGGCATTTTGCCATAACACTGGCCATCCGCCCTCATTTTGGAGGGAAGAAAGAGGGGGAGGGCTAAACTTCCCTTTCATTTGTGCCACAGTTGGGGGGTGTTTCAATGCAGACAGAATGCTTATACGGAAGGATTTGAAGCAGATAGTGTTCACTTTTTAGAATCGTCTATCCCCAGAATAAACAAACTGCCCGCCTGGTACCCCAGGTACTTGGAGGAAACTACTTCACTTACTGTACACTTTGTTCACAGCCGATCACTATTACAGCAGTCCAGGAGGCCGGTGCCTTCTCTCTGAGCGCAGGTATCGACCAAACTAAATGTGCCGTCCCGGACCCTGGAGTGTCCTTTACTAAGCTGGGTCTTCGAGCTATGCCAGGAAGAGCTGGCTTGGCTCCGGCTAACTCTGGGGGAAACCCGAACTGCGAGCCCCCTCAGTTTCCGGGGCCTGCGGGATCCGCGTGCGGTCCTCACGGTGCCTCCACCACCCACCCACGGCCAGCAAACAGGCTGCCAACAGCACCGGAGGGCCGGTGTGGCCTCCCCCGCACCGATGAGCACCCCGATGGCTCCGGGGGCAGGGGCGCGGTCTCCTGCTAGGGTTAGAGGAGAGGCTCCGAGAAGCCCACAAGCCTGCCCCGGCCCCGCCACAGGGGAGCGGCTGCGACTCCAGGTCTGGTGAGAAAACAGATTTGCAGCCCAGCTCTTCGTCCAGAGAGGACAGTGACCTCGTCCCTGGAATCCAGCCTCACAGAAATGCTACAGCACGAGCAGCAGCGGTAGGACTCCAGCGTGAACCGACTCTAACCCCACACCCACCGAGTGCTCGGCTCCGATGCCGGATAGCTGACAGTCGGGGCGGGTTCGCGCCCTTAGAGGTCGAGGCTGTCTAACTGCACTAAGTTACCTCACCTCAGTGGGAAGGAAGTCAGATCCTACAACCTCAGCTTCCCAAGGGCTCGTCGAACAAACGGGTTACAAACACCCAAGTTCTCAGCTTTTGGAACGGGCCTGCGCGCGGCCTCCCGGGTGCAGCAGCTGTCTTCAAGCACAGGTCACTGTCCTCGCTCACGTCCCTTAGGAGCACCTGCACCATCCGTGCCCTCTCAAGCATCTTCCAAGGGCGATGCTGTCTCTGTAAATGAATTTTCCTACTCTTCCTTAAAACATTTTTCTTATTTCCTCCTCTCCTGCTGGAACACCTGGATCCAGGCTCACCACTTGAAGGCACTTTACTGCCCTGGGGACACCCCCTTCCCTTCCGTCTGCCCCCACTCTGCATCGCAACCCCCAGCTGCCCAGAGCCGACAGGACAGCCACTGCCTGACCTGCTGCTCCTCCTCCACTTCTCACTCTCAAAGACCAGTGTGATCTGGGTGATTGTGCTCTGTTCGCTAAGACTGGCAGGAAAATCTCCTGCTATCAGCTCTGCCTCATCGGGGCCTCGGGATGCAGGGTGAGGCATCAAAGCTTCTCGGTCGGGTTTTGTGTCAACAGTAAAACAAAACCAAAAACACTCCTGTTGAAGAAAACACTCCACATTTGCAAGGATCCTGAGAAAGAAAGTGATATGTAGTCATGTCTCTATGACAACTAGCCTCCCAGTGGCTGAGAATTTATGCGGAGAGAAGAGGAGAGAGAACTTCCCTGAGGCAGAAGGCGAGGGGGTGACCCGCTCGCTGTTCATCCTCAGACATACAGCATCGGCCAAAGCCGCCTGCCTGTGGCTTCTTCCTCAAAAAAACCAGCCACACCCAAATTTTATTTGGACACCCAAGAAGGTGACTTATAAAAAAACACGCAGGCTGATTTATTCCTTAAAGAAGCAACCACTGGGATACCCCAGGCTTGTTATTCTCCTGTCTCTCGGGCTCAGGTACAAGCCAGTCTTTGCTCAGAAAATGAGAACAGCCAGTTTCATACTTACATGTCGCTGCCCGGGTTGGGTTTGACGGAGTCCTCAGCTGGAAGGCAACACTCCATAATCTCGTTAAAGCCTGCATTCCCAATATTCTTGGCAAGCTGCAAAAACAGAAGTCTCAAGTATTAATCCATTCAACCGCTACACACTACACACGCATCTGATGATTGATTTAATGGCTACTAAGAAATACAGCAATAAAGTGGTTTGCCGTTAATAAAGACAGACAAAACTCACACCCCAAAGGTACCCATAAAACCAGCAATAAGAAGTAAGACGTCTGTTACAGAGGAATGTTCTCATAAAATATCCCCTGGAAAGAGCACCTAGATGGGCAGGAAGAAGCAGTAACTTAGTCCAATCTGAGTTTCCATCCTTATCCACCCCGTGAAAACCTCACTAACCAAGTGAAATGGATCTAGTAAGACCTATTTAGGCCAGCAAAGAGGGGCTCTGACACAGTGGAGAGCGTGTGGGGCCAGGAAGCCAAGACTCAGGTTTAAATCACAGTTCGATTTTCTGGTTTTGTGACCACACGCAAGTCAGTTCCAAGTTTCAATTTTTTATCAGTAAAATGGGGATGACACCTACCTTGCTGGGTTGTAATAATAAATTGGAACAATTTAGGTGAAAACATTCTATAAACAGAAGCACTAAAAATGCATTTGTTCCACATATAAGGTCCTCACTCAACAATCAACCTTCTGATTTGTCAGAAATTAAATGAACACATTTCAGTTAACGCTCATTGAACACTCAGCACTGTGCTTGACGCAGCAGATGGGAAGACAAATGTCACGGCCTATTTTAGACCAGCGAACAGGACGGCGGCTGGCATCTTCTGACTGGATGCACGGACTCTGAGTGACCAGGATCCTGAAAGGCAGGGGTTTAATCGTCGTATCCCAGCACGCAGCCCAGCACCTGACAGAGACTTAATGAAACAAAACTGAGGGGGAGCCCTGAGCACCGGGCTTTTGAGAGGAGAGCGATTTTAACTTCTGTGTTGACAACGGCGCGAAAGGGAGCAGGGGCCTCTGCTTCTGCTCTCGAGGAGGGAAGTGGACACAGAGTAACCAGGGAGGTTCTGGGAGATTCCTGCTAGAGCAGCCCCTTCTCTCTCCACAGGGAGCAGACTGAAGGAGCGGCCGAAGGGGTCTGAGTCAGAGGACGTGGAACTTTCTGGCGGCAGGTAACACAACACAGCGAAATGGGATTGCGAGGGACGCCGAAGGACTGGGGACATGTGTCGGATTTAACTTTGTGAAGAACCTTCTTAATTTTATCATCCTGGTAAGTGAACAAAAGCATTCTAGATGGCCTGGAGCACCAAGCACTAACTGACCCCACCCGGGTCCCCAGTCCTGGCCTGGTGGTCTCAAGCCATTGTCAGGTGACAAAACCCCAGGGCCTCGCTGCAGTTTCCCCAAGAATGAGGCTGATGGGCAACCATGTCAGGTGACAGAACTGACGTACCACGGAGTCAACGCCTGCAAAGGATTTCTTGGACTGTCAGTGACAGATCCAGGACTGAACCTCACAATCAGACCTGTTTAGACCCAGCTTTGCTCTCCCAACCCCATCTCTCGACATAATGTGGACACTGTCCCCTCGCCGAGCACTGTCCTTTCCAGAAGGGAAAGGAGAGAAAAGCCACAGCGCCCCTCTGTGCGCGGGGCCCACATGCCTCTGAGTCTGCGGTAAGCAGATGGGAGGGGGCTGTGAGGAGAATTCCCCGGGACTCAGAAAGCTGCTTCCCTTCTGCTTGGACTTGGCTGGTTTACCGGGGGACAGCTGGTCCAGGGAGCCACCACATCCGTGCGTCACACTCGTCCAATGCGGAGAAATGTGCCGCCTCACGGTTCTGCCAAGTTCCAGCGAGTATCTCCGGCTGCAGAGAACGCCTTCAGGACCCCCAGCAAAAGCAAAGCATCTGCAGATGGAGGCTGCAGGGTCATGTCCAAAAAATGTGGGTCCCTGCGGGCCACGTGGGCAGGAGCCAAGGAAGCAGGAAGGCTGGTGGGAAGCAGCCCCCAACACGCACGCCTTCCAATCCCAGAGGACCCTGAGAGTGACGTCGAGGGAGACACAGGGCAGCTCAGATCGAGGAGGGTCTGGGGCATCTGGAGTGCCACGTCACTCGGCGAAGCAAACGTCAGACCCTCTCGGTCCACAAACGCCCACTGAGTTCTCGGGTGTGCCGGGTGCTGAGCGTGAGATGCGACCCTGTGACCCTGCGAGGCAAGAGTTCAGTCTAGCGCGAGGGACGCCGGCAGAGAGATGCACGCGCCGAGGCCGGGAAAGCGGCCCGGGGCCGAGCACGACGAGCGTGGAGATGGCAGACGCGCGTCACCAGGGCGGCTCCCCGGTCCAGATGCCGCTTTAGCCCGCTGGCCTTGCGGGGGACCCTGCGTGCCTCTCCCGGGGACCAGGGGTCCCACATTCCCGGAGATCTGCAGCCCCTACCTGTGTGGGGTCCATGGAGCCAGAAAGAGGCCTTACGTGTTACCAGAAATTGCGTTTAGAGTTTGGGGTGAGGATGGGCAAAACACCTGTTTCATGTTTCCAGGTGGAGGGAGGAGATCTTCCCTGTTTTTATGCCCCCCTCGCCGCCCGGCAAGGGGAGGAGTGGGCAAATGAGGGAAAGAACTTCCCGGGGAGGGGACCTCAGCCCCGTTGTGCCCACAGGACGCCACACTGGGGGCGGGGGGCTCCTCCTGCCTGAGCCTAGAGCTGTTACCACGCATGTGAGCCTCGTCAACCCATCTGGCTTCTCCCAGTAACAAAGCAGATTTTTCATCTCTCAGCTGCTTCCAGATCCATGCAGGGAAATGGGGTGTTGTTTTCTGCGCCGCTCACATCCCAGCAGTGTGGAAGGCCAGAGAGCACGGCAGGCCGTTCCTGCACCGTGGGTGAAGGCCCCGGGAAGTGTGGGCATTGGACCCCGCAGGCAGAGCTAAGAAATGCTGTGAGCTCGCAATTTTGACATCCGAGAGAGGGAGCACAAAAGAGGTACTCTGGGGAATGTTGGAAATTATGTTTTCATTAAAAATATTATGTTTTCACCCAAGGCTTTAGACATCCTATTTTTGACATATTTTACAAAGTATATAATATGCTTCTCAGTAATACTGCTGTAATTATAAATTATTATACACACACACACACACACACACACACACACACACGTTTGTGTGTGTGTTGGTCTTCAGTTTCTTTTTTTTTTCCCCCCCAAGTTTACTTTTTTCTTTTGAGTAATCTCTAACAATACAAGGCTCGAACTCAAGACTCCGAGATCAGGAGTTGTTAGCTCTTCCAGCTGAGCCAGTCAGGCACCCCTTGATTTCTTTCTGACAGTTTGTGGCTAAAAAAAGGTCAAGAGATGTAATTTAAAAAGAAAAAGAGAACACAGGCTCTGGGGTCCAGGGCCCAGAGCGTAAATCCTGGCCTCACCTCTCCAGCCCTATCTTGTAAGACAGGGTCCTTGCTTAGGTTAGACGCAGTGTGCACAAAGCTCCGAGGTCAAGCCTGAGCCCGAGTCGCTCAGTACGTGGGAGCTGGTACCACAGGCCTCGCAGCCCCGGGAGTGGCCTTCATTCGGTCCCAGATGAATATTGGTCTCCATGCGCCTCCCCTCCACGCGCGCTCCTTCACGCCAGCTGTCAGCTGCCCCTACTTCACACTGCACAGCTTGTTAACAGCCTCTTGAGAAGGGAGGCAGGAGGAGTCAGGGAACACAGGCTTCTCAGTCACCAATATGTGCTCCCGAGCTCACCGACCCTGCCCTTCAACTTGACAGAAAAGATTTTAAAATTACTGACCCCAATTCAATTTCATAATATCAAATTTTCCTTTATTAACTTCATGTAGGATGTCAAGTGGATTGTATGATACAAGGACCTTAGCACTAGTGGCAGTGTTCTACATATGAACAGAAAATCAACCCTGAAATGATGACCTATGTTAGGGAGGAAATTCACCTTCCCCCAAAATCGATGTTTACCAGGAGGATTTCGAAAGCAGATTTGCTTTAAAATCTAAGGATACTAAGCAGTTTGCATGCTAGAGTACCAGCTCAAATGACATGGCCTCCCGGAACTAATGAGTACCCTCACGGACCCAGCTTCTCTCTGAGTAAACTGTGATTCCAAAAGCAAGTGGAGAGGAGAAACGATGACGGCTAAGCAGCCACCTTCACGGATGCTGCTGAAACCCATTCAGGTAATACGGAAATCAAGCATGCTTCGAACCCAAAATAATAAAAAAGGAAATGGTGAAATTGCCACAGCATTCCATCCAGGGGCACCGTATGCAAACCTAAGACCAGAAAATAATTTATAGAATTAAGCAGAAAGGTTTTTATCATGAAGAACATGGTGAGGCCATATGGGAGGACAGGAGCGACATTCTACACAGTGACCGTCTGTTTCGGAGCACCATGCCAGCCAGAGAACGAAAATCCTGGCTCGCCACAGCCCGCCACCCTGGGATGTGGGCTCTAGGGCTGATTCACCTGGAGGACAGAGACTCACTGAGCCTGTACAGCAACGCTGCCCAGGATGCTCCCGTGAAGTCGCTGGAAAGTTGCTTTCCAGGTCACCCTCTTAAAAAAGAGTGTGGAGCAGTTTGATCAACATTTGCTGCACAAGAACACACACCAGGACGAACAACTCAACCAAAGGGCCGGGGTTACTGCTCTGTGCCCCCTGAAGGTTCATACACGAGCAGAATGTCCCTATGGATTCACACGTTAGGACACGTGGATCGCTCTTCTGACAGGATTTAAAGGCATCTTGGAGAATAAGGAGGGCTCATCCTTCGCGGTTCTTACGATGTGCCAGACGTAATTCTAAATACACACACAGAGACTTCTATGTGTCAAGCCTCGGGACATTCTCTGTGCAAGCTTCCGACCATCTACGCAGAACAGAACTTGTGTGCTCTAAAAAGGCTTGGACTCATACAGGCGCCTGGCGGCTCCGTCGGTTAAGGGTCCGACTCATGATTTGGGAGGTCGTGATCTCAGTCAGCGTCCTGGGCTCTGTGTCGGAAGCTGCTTGAGATTCTCTCCCTCTCCCTCTGCCCTTCTGCCCATTTAAGCACACACTCTCTCTCTCTAAAAGAAATCTTTAAAAAATACAGAAATAAAATCTTAAGAAGGGCTTGAACTCATGTTTTATAAATGAAGCCTAAGCCCTGACACACACCGTCCACGCAGCGCCTGACTTACCAGCCGAGCGGTAAAGGTTCGGGACAGGATGTCGGGCCCACCGTTCTGACACACAATGGGTAGGGCTGGGGAGAAGCCCAACTCCTGTGAGCAGCCACTTGACCACACGGACAGAGTTGAGGGGCAAGCAGAGGGTGGGAGAGAACCTCACAAGATTCGGGGCCCTTTTCCCTCTGTTTTTCTTCTTCTTTTTTTTTTTTTAAACAGAGAGAGAGAGAGAGCACAAGCGGGGGAGAGACAGAGGCAGAAGGAGAAGCAGGCTCCCTGCTGAGCAGGAAGCCCAATGTGGGGCTTGATCCTGGAACCCTGGGACCGTGACCTAAGCCCAAGGCAGGTGCTTAACTGACTGAGCCACCCAGGTGCCCCGACCCCTCTGTTTTTCTGGAACTACAGCAGAGGTCAGGTTCTGGAAACTCCTGCAGATACTACATAAGCAGGCTCTGCCTGACGGTTCCCGGGCAGGGCTGACAGCTGCCCAAATGTTAAACTCCTGTGAGCACATGTAGACAGAGGCCCTGGGAGAGAGAAACCAATTCGAACCCGGTGTCAAGCCACCTCATCGTTTCACTGAGATGTGAACGTCTTCTCTTCCACCTTTCTTGGCCTTTTCCTGATTAGTGGGCAAGAGTCTCACGAAGCAGTCAGCTTAGATTCTGGGACACAGTTAAGCAGATGTAACAGATGTGCTGGGGTCAGGCGCCCACAGGCTCATGAGAGCCATCAGTAAAATTACATCATATAAACTCACCATGACATAAATTATATTAAAAACAAAGTACAGTCAAAACTCATCACTGAATCATTTTACTGCTCTGTTTCTGAAGTCACTGAAGACCACTGTGTATGAGGGGGACTCCCCATACGGGGTGCGTCACCGAGCCCCTCTTCCCCACACAGAGCCAGTAACTCATGCAGGTTACTGACGACGGCACGGATTTGACAAAAAGGCCACGGTGGGAGTATTGACATCATGTGGAGAGGATGTTCAACACTGGCTGGGCACAGGAATGGGTACAGGGACAGGAGGGATGGCAGTGATGCTTACCACATGCCAAGACTCACCTCCGCAAAGGCCATTTAATGTTCCGGGCCACTCAGAGGTTAAGTGTGAGCTCTGGGACCAGATGAAAGGGTCCCACCCCCGATCTTACACTTCAATAACTATATAACCTTGGGCACATTGCAACATTCTAAGCCTCAGTCCTGCCCTTGTAAAGTGGGGATAAATACCAAGGTCACTGGGCTGTCGTGAAGGGCAAATGAGCTAATATATAACGATTGCTCTGTGAAGGGCCTTGTACGAAATAAGCAACTCTTATTCCCACTGTTTTGAGAAAACCAGCAATGCCGGTACAGAACTACTGGAGGTGACCAGAGAATTTGTGTTTCTCTGAAAACATATCATGGGAATCTCAAACCTATGCCACCATCAGCTGCCCAGGATACCAGCCCTTGGACACACGTGGCTGTAAGACGTAGGTGGAGCACACCATGACCTTAACAATAACCCCACCATGGAACCTAGGATACACCGCTGGAGTCTTGCCAAGTCCAGCTTAGTCCTAACCTTGAAGTCATCAGGGACATTACTAACCGGGAGACCAGAATTCACAGTCGTTTCTCCCAACTTTGTCTTTCAAGACCATCAAGGAATCCTCTGGAAAGACTGCAAGGATTTGACAAGATAGTTCAAAACGGCTTCTAAGTTCAGACATGCTGGTTCCAGAGTAGTCATCAATAAAACATACGGACCCTTGAGAGGTATACCGACCACAGTAATTGATTTCCTGTCAAGACTACAGCTATTTTCATTACAATCAACGGCGATCTGTAACCACCTAACGTTCACCGTCCAAGGCCCAGCTACACCAAGAGTTCCAACACTGCTTCCAACCAGCAATTACAGACTCTGAAAGCAGTTCACAAAAGCTCCATTTAGGTGGTCTCAAACACCTTGTGTGATGTGCCTTTTCCTCAGCACGGCCAGTCTCAAAACTCTGGACGTTACGTGACAGAAAGTGCTTCAGCCTCCTAGTACCGATGTACGCCGCACTGCATGGCTTATGTGCGTCACCAAACCACGAATGAAAGCCTTCCTTAGAAACAAAGGCAGGAAAAGCAGAGACCAGTATCTCCCCCAAAGGGCGACAGTAAGGGGCCAAGGAAGAGAGCACTGGAGGCTTGAGCCGAGTGATGACCACAGACTTGGGAGGAATCTGTGGGGGCTCCGGGGGAACGCATCCCTGTCTCTGGGCTTCGGTCCTGCATGTGGTTAAGGAACTGGGAAGAGGGTGAGCTAGACGCCGCCACCACCCTAGTCCACAATCTTAAAACTGTCTCAGCCTTCGTTTCACTTCACTTGATTCAATTAAGAACCAAGTTTTACAACAAGTGCCTTCAGCTCCCAGTAGCCGAGAAGGTTCTAATTGCCCAAACCCATCTGGCAAAAATCAGCTACCATCAAGCCCAGTGGAATTTCAAGAAACCAAAATAAAAACTCAGCTTTCAGCTCACTCATTTCCATTTCAAAATCAAGGATTTGAGAATTACCAGCAGCTCAGATGTTCCTAAGACATCTAACGTGAGGGATTGCATCCGGGAATAGTGAACCCCGAGCTCCCGGTGGATTCCAGAACACTCAATGCAGGTCAGGATGCCCAGATTGGTGGAAAGCCATGTAGGATCTGCCAAAGAGAACAGGGAAAATTGGAATTTGCAGTAAGTGGCGGCCCAGGGTCACAACATTTTTCCTAGAGTTACTGCATGTGGAGTCGGGCACGAGCGTTCTCTCAATCCTTGACCCAGCGGGAGCTCTCAGTCACCATCCACTCTGCACTAGCACCAATTCACACACAATGCTCACATGTGCACATGTCTGCTCTCCCTCCTCATCCCATCTCTCCATTTCTTTACTCATTCTGTACTCATCTTGCCCACCCTTCCATTCATTAAGAACTTCCAGGGACAGGTGTCACGTGGAAGAACACACAGCACACAGCGCCCTCTACTGGGCAAGGCCTTTGAGGGCTCTCCTGAACACCGACCATGCCCATCGCCAACCTCTGTCAGACTAACAAAGGGGAGATTTAAAAAAACACCACAGTCTAGTGCTGGATGGGGAACAGATTTAAAATTCGTTTCTTCGCAAAATGCTAACAGTAATGATGGAGAACACCTACTACGTGCTGATGCCATACTCTGTGCTCAGCATACTGGGGGCAGCAGGAGGAGTTCTGATCCAAGAGCTTCAGAAATTACAGATACTGACAGAATTCATTTAGCAAGTACAAAAGCACCAGCGGGTGACCAGGACAGGTGTCTTCAGAAGGCTCGACAAGAAGGGCCTTGCTAGAGGGTGTGCGGGACCAGACGGCAGCCCCGCCTGTCCCGAGGCCCAAGGCCATGCTGGCCTCTGGTCACTGTGCTTCTCAGAGCAGTTACCTACCCACTGAGGCATCCTACTAAGCGCTGGCTACACGGCAGACACTCAAGATGTGCTCGACAGATGAAAGCTAGATTGCAAATAGGGCATTCAAAATAAAACCTACTCGAGCACATCATCAGAACCCGAAAGTACCACTCTCTTTGGAACAGCCTGCTGCCCTTGGAAACTCACAGCAGGGAAACAGCATAACCTGGGTCACCAGATTATTGTCAAGTTCTGTTTGTAAATGTTCAAGTTATAAAACATTGTATCCATTAGGAAATACGCCTGGGCATCGGTGTTTTTCCTTCTACTCTAACGGCTGTACACCCTCTCAGCAGGTAGGAGTGTGTTTCGACTGCTTTATGTCAACTTTCACGTCAGCTGTCTTGTCTCGGCATTTGCAAAGAGAAATGTACAAAGCTTTGACTTCTTTATGGGAGTGTTTTCAATGTCCAAGTACAGCACCGTCCTCATCTTTTCTTAAGAAAAAGCACGATTCACTACTTACCGCTCCTGGCCTCATCTCTTGCCAAAACATAATTTTTCCTGGGTCTCTGACCCTGAGGGAGTTCCTCAAACTACCCCGAGATATATGGCCTTCGGGGCAACAGGAACCTCCCGGCAATTCTCAACTGCCCGCTCTATTTTTGTTGTGTTCGTTTTTTGTAAGAACTTTCATAGAATAAGATGAATGAAAAGGTAACTGACCGTTCCATGATCTTTCTCATTTTGTAAATGACCAGAAACAGCTATTCCAAAGCTCCCCTGACCTCCCAGCACCATTCCATCGTAATCAGAAGAAATCCACTCTGTAAGCTTTTAAAACGCTAGCTATTAAAATCTACGAGGATGCTCTATGTCGGTTAAAAAAAATGAAGCCCCAGAGAGGCTTCATCAAAATGCAGAAAGAAACATCTCATTTCACAGAACGTGGCAAGGACCCGAAAGGGTTCTGGAAAGGACCCGAAAACACTCCATGCTGGTTCCATCATCTTCCATACAGGAAAACCCAGACCTCACAAAGAAAGTGGCTCTCCTGGAGCCACAGACTAGACAGAGGCTCAAAGCTGCTGCACAAGTTCTACAAAGTAGCACAAAGGGAGGGGGGAGTAAATCCCAGGAAAAGCCGCCCCCACATGGCCGCACAGCCAATACAATGAGTGGATGACCTTGGTTTCACCCGCTTTCTGTGCTTCCGTTTTCATTTCTCAAAAAGCTTTAAATCTTTTCAGCTCCATCGGGCCATCTTTGCGCGGCCCTGCTTGGCGGGGGCTGGAGGCAGGTGTCTTCCCACCCTCCCCTCCCACCGTCTGCACACAGCCCAGGATGCAGCCGCGCGCCCTGTGAATCAGAATGAGATGTGACTATACCAGAGCTAGGGGGGAGGGAGGGGGACGGGTGTCACCTGGGGCCCCACAGTCACAACACACGTCATTGCCCGTCATCCTCTGCACTTCGGAAATGATCTCCTTTGTCAGTTCCTGGACGATGTTATTTTCCCCGGTATTGTCGTCCCCCTTAAATGCATTGTTTAAAGCTTCTTCTTTGCTGTTCTGCAGCACAGACATCCATCTAGAAAAGTAACAGAAATGCTGTGTTAAATCCCCAAGGACTATGAGGTCCCGGCCCCAAGGCCCGCCTCCAAGGAACTTACATTTGACACTCCTGCTCGTCCTCCGCTTGGAAGTGGTAAGTCCGGTCATCTGTGCGGCAAGAGGGGTTGGTCAGTTGCGAGCCACACGGTAATCCACACACAACTCCCGCAGGAAGCGGTTTATAATTAACCCCGGGAGTAACAGCAGCTCTCGGTGAGCCCTCCCTCGTGTCCTTCCGTGCCTTGCTTGCCCTTGCTCTCGGGGATCATGGCTTTGTCATCCCAATTCACAAACCTGCCCTGTCCTCCACTCCAGTTCCCCCAAACAGCAGCTATTCCAGGATGGAAACCATCAACAGCTTTTCAAAAGCCTGCTACAAAGCAGGCCCTCCGGAAGTAACTGTTACAACCCTCTGAATAATAAAAGCCTTCCCTCCTGAGTATCTGAGAAGTTTTCTGGCCTTCTTAGAAAGTTCCAGCAGGCTGTGGGAGGGCTGTGTTACAGGGCCCAGCAGCAGGAGGAACAGCCCAGCGAAGACGGGACACGAGATCTTCAGCTCACACATAGCTGTGTGCAAACATAGCCGTGTCTACACGGCCGGGCCAGACTGCTGACCCCTGTGCACGGAGCAAAGAGGAGCGGCATGGGATATGCTATTCCTGCCAAAAAGGCAGAAACTCAGTCCAACTGTGGGCAAGCATCAGGGAAACCCATGTTGAGGGACATCTGACCAAAAAACCCATCAAGCTTCTTCAAAACAAATATCAAGATTATGGAAGGCCAGGGCAGACTCTGACACTGCTTCAGCCTGTAGCAGAGGAAGAGGAGGTGAAAACGGACGGCGGGACCCTCAGGGAGTCCCAGAGCACCCGTGGAAAGGCCAGTGAGACCCCTCATGAACAGCATCAGGATGTTAATTCCGGGTTCCCACAGAGGTAACCATGGCTGGTAACACGAATTGTGCACTATTAGACAAGCGGTTGAGAGCTGGTGAGGGCTATACAAGGATTCTGTCTATAGTCAGTCCAAGACCAAAAGGAAAATTAAATTTTAAAATCAAACAGAATGAAAAAAGAGAGGAGACCCAACTTCTCCAGAGAGCAGAGCAGCGACTGTCCTTAGGGACACAGAGAACCCTCCGGGCCCCTCTGAATGAGCTCAGTCAGTCTTCCAGTGGTGGTCTTCACAGCCCTGGGGCAGGCTGGTCCTGAGCGCAGCTCGGGGCAAGCTGGCTGGAGGGACACCGAGGCCCATGGAGGGTAAGTGGCAAAGACGAACGCAGCCAGCGGCAGAGGAATCAGGGTTTTGATTGATGGTCCCATTCGCTTCTTCCCACCCACTTCCACCCTTTTTCTGACACTAAGGGAGAGGGACAGGACTTAAGAGATTCGAGTTCAGAAAAATGAACTGAATTTCAGGATTCGGATGTTAGAGGCTGATCCACTTCCATCCACTGTGGAAGTGCCAGTGCTAGAAAGAGAGGGCAAGGCCCCTTCACGTCTCCCACCTCCGGCTCTGATGGGAACGGCCTCATCCAGAGGTGGGACCCGGAGGGGCAGAGCCACACCCCACGCTGAGTGGGGCTAAGAGTTCTTGGAAAGCTGTGCTGGTGGCGGGTAGGGCCAGGGGTCGTGTCCTCTCACTGACTCGTCTCCCCGCCAGATGGGCATAGCTCGAGGAGGAGAGTCAAGGAGGCCAGGGAAGCAGCCCATTTCCTCTGACCAATGCTATATTCTGACAAGTGAGGAGCAGGGGAACGGCCTATGAAAACTCCCAAGTGAGAACTCCCTCCTACAGACACGCTCGAGATGCTCCTGAACTCAAGAACAGTTTCTAGCAGCTTCAACTCTGAGAGAGAAGAAAAGGCAAGAGAAGATGGTAGCTGGGAGCCAGGAAGGGTTGCCTCTTTCCCTGAGGCTCGAGCTCCAACCGGCCACAGACCCAGTGCGTGGACCTGGAAAGACACCGGCTCCCGGTGGGTCCGTCCTATTCAGGGCGCTGACCTAGGTCACCTCCAAATTCTCCTGCACCTTCCATTCTGCCAAGGGTGACTACGTGATTGAAGACAGTGGCACAGGACTTGAATTTGCAAAGCAGGGGGGTCAATCTGAGGGCAACAGAGCTGGACAAACTCCTGAAGGGCCAGCCTTGCCCCAGAAGCACCCTCCTTGAGGAGCCCCGGCCCAGTCAGAGCTGGCTCCGAGTGGGGAATGCCTGCTGGGGAGAGCACGGTAACGGAGGGCCCTGCAGGGAACCAACTGAACCCAGCTGTCAGTCCCTTACTCTTCTGGGTCATTTCAGGATGGCGTCCCAGGGGGAGGGTGACTCTGGGGGCCTGAGAGACCACAGCTAAAGTATCTTCCTCACTGCCCAACGTGCCACTTGACTTTTATTTCCCCAACCACCCAAACATCTCAAGAGCTCAAACGCATCTTCGTGTTATGTGTCCCACTAGCCTGGCCAGCAGGCAGGGGAGGAACAGAGAGGGTGACAGCCTCATTTCCCGAGTCAGGCACCATCAGACATGACCCTGAGCCCCAAACTTCTCCAGACGCTCAAGAAATCATCTTCACCACTTGGCAGTGTCTCCCTGGAGGACTCCTGGCCAGCTTTCAGGCTTCTCTGGGACAACCAAACCCACGCAGCACAGCGACAAAGCATTTTCGCCACAACTACTCCTAGGAGAGTAACACCTTTTGAAAACTAGGATGAAAAATTCGTGGGATTGGAATTCACTCTACCCACTGAAGGACAGTGGGAAGAAGAAGAAACAAGAGCTTTTTTTTCAAAGAAAGACAAAAGACTGGCAAATTTCCAAAAGCACCTCAAACCCAATCAGGAAGCCCTTCTGTGCGTTAGAGGTAGGAAGCCCTTGCCCAAAGACATTTATTATGCATTAGGTAGTAGAGCAAAATACTGATGGGATCTTGGCAAATGCTGGCTCACCGGAGCATTCACACGAAACCAGATTTACACAGGCCCACCTTCCCACCTGTCCAAGGAATGCAATAATTCACGCTTGGTAGGGAGTGAGGCACACTTACCATCTACTGACCCTCCTCAGGGCCTGAGCAGTATTTAAAAACGTGTAGGCTGGGAGTGCTCTGGGGTTGTTTACAAGAGTGAAATAAATGTATCTCATGGTGGTGGCGGGGTAGGGGAGGGGGCCCTCAGGGGCACTGGACGGACCAGGGCAAGCGGAGGGAAGGGTTTGCCTCTGCCTCTCCATGTGCGTGCAGCTCAGGCACGCTCCGTTAACTACTAAGTGCCCCTGAGGTCTTGAAGGGCAACATGCTGCTTACCATGAGGCACTGCTTCAGAAAAAGAATTGGCCTAAAGCCTCCAAGTGGTCCCCAGTCACTTGCTGACATCAGCTTATGCCATCAAGTTCTCTCCCTTCACATACAACTCGATTACTCTCTGGAGGCAGGTAACCCCAGGAGCGACCTCATTTCATTATTTTTTTTAAAAAGATCTATTTATTTTAGAAAGCGAGTGAGCCCAGGGGGTACAGGGAGAGGGAGAGAAAGAATCTCGAGTAGACTCCCCACTGAGTGGAGACTGACGTGAGGCTCGATCTCCTGACCGTGGGATCATGATCTAAGCCGAGATCAAGAGTCAGACGCTCAACCCACAGAGCCACACAAGCGCCCCTTGATCCCACTGTGAACTACAGTCAGTCCTGCACGTTTCCACTGTCTCATGAGGATGAAGGATCTGAGGGCAGAGAGGGGTAAAAACACATGCGGCCTCACGAGACCGAGGACAGACGTGGGGTTGAAGTAGGATAAGGTCCATTTTTATCTTACAAGTTAGTCTAGAATCTGAAGGATGGAACAATGCCCAAACCCTTTCCACACATCATACCGCTCAAGGCTCTCCTCCAACTTAGCACAGCGCACACTACAACGGGGACAATGGGGTACGAGGGTGCAGGGCCACGGGCCTCCGTCTCCTCACCCAGAGAAGTGGAGGTGGTAATAATTCCCTCCTAAGCTTGCTCTAATTCATAGAGGAAGTACCTTCCTGGCCCTCAGTAATATAATCCAGCAGACATCTTAAAAAGCAGCCACATCGCACTCTGGATACTGAGGCAATTAAGACCGTGCTCACCTTCTGAAAAAGCATGGTCTAGACTTTTCCTCTATAAACACAACTCTTGTGCCTAAATCCCTTAAGACCTCCTTTTGAAAGGGGATCTGCCCTCTTCCTTCCCCCAGACTGTAATCCTACCACCTGAAAGTGCCACAAGCAAAGGCCAATCCTGTTTCCATTATTACACACTAGTCCTTTCCTTGCTTCTTAGGGATGCTGAGTAGACACTCCTCACAACAGATGGTTCTATAGCAGTTCTTTTGTGCACACCACAGGAAAAAAAAAAAAAAGCATATAGAAGCAGAAAGACAAATCCTGTGGTGGGGAAGACAGACAATTTCAAAAATGAAAGTTTCCAGGTTTTTGCTGGGACCTGAGCATGTTAGCTGTCCAGCATTTCGAACATCACCCAAACCACGGAAGCCCTGACAACAGAATCGTCCTTTTTGATCGTGGGGTGAGGAGATCCAGTGTCCTCTCCTAGTTTACGAGACCATGAGGAGAGCGGGGCCGCCCTCTGCGTCAGCTCCTCAACGGGAGGGCCCGGCGAGCAAACAGTGAGGAGCGGAAAGAGGATGCATGTCTATCACTTGAAATGAAGGCATTTCTCCTTGATAATTCATTCTCTGAAACGGGACTGATGTCCGAGTAGAGAGCTGAAAATCATTTGTCTGTGGCCTAGCACCTGAGAAACACACTTACGTGAAATAAGGTCAAAACACTTTTTCTCTTCGGGGTTGGTCTTCACTTGGCAGGTTAAGAGGTTGAGCTTCGCAGGAGGCCGGTTAGCCTGTTTAAGACAGAGACACAGGGAGATGCGTGGGAAGGAGTGAAAATCACAGGGCATCGTTTCTCATTAAAATGCAGCACGAACGCGGGGCGCCTGGCTGGCTCAGTCTGTTAAGGGTCTGCCTTCGACTCGGGTCATGATCACACAGTCTTGAGATCGAGCTCCATGTCTGGCTCTGTGCCCAGCTGGGCTTGTCCCTCTGCCCCTCCCCCTGCCTCTGTTCTCTCTCTCTCTCTCTCTCAAATAAAATCTTTAAAAATATATATATAGCAAGAGGAGAGTTTCCACTAGTTTGCAAAGATAGCTGGCAGAAGGCAGACTACGCGGGAAGGTATAACACAGCATTCCCTTAAATCTCAGCCCCCTGGAAGGCAGCTGCCACTTCTTGTGAGGGATACTTGGTGGCCAGGGGACAAGTGATGCTGGCTTTGAGGTCGATGGCAGTGGGCTCCCTGAGATCAAAATGCTCTACGGCTAATGCTCTGAGACATTCTGTCCCAACTCCTACTGATGACACAGATGGTTGGCTGGGTGACTTGGGCACCCAGCTCAATTTCTGGTGATCTTAGAAGTATCTTCCTGAGTGTAAACACTCACTTCCAAGGACAGAAATCTCATAGCACAAAAATGACAGAGAAATTATTTTCCTTACTTTTTGAAGTCACAACGGATAACAGATTGATAATCCTAAATGCTAACCATTTGTCACCTGAGTTTTAACAAAACCTGTCTAATTCACGGAAGTACCCCCAAATCCCCCAACACACTGGCAACAAAAGATCATAATACATTTTTGTCAGAGAGATGTCAAAATGGGAATTTTATTGCAATTTTAAAAACCACCATAATTAGTCCAAAAAAAGCAAAGATCAAAGAATAGATCATTTTAGGAAAACAAAAAGTGCAAATGGTAAAATGTCTCTCAGAAATCTTGGAGCAATCTCCAAATATGAATGGGCTTATCTCACCCACCTCCTAAGCTGCTGAAGGAAAAGATCAAACAAAATGCCATATATTTCAACCTCTTTTTCGCCCTACCATGGCCACCAGCCGCATTTATAGGATGCGAAAGCTTGGATTTGGGATTTGTTGAGAAACACAAATGAGCTCACATTTTGGCAGACCTGTGGGACCTTCATTCATTTATGGACCCCTTTCCACTAAACTCACAGAGGAGGTGTAAGGGAGCATAGGCTGTTAAAAGAGGACGGATCCTTGCAATGAGAATAGTTTGGGTTTGATAAAAAGGAAGGTGGGATAAGCAGAAGTTGGGTAAACAGGGTGGACCAGACTCTCCTGGTTGGTGGCCATTCTGGGCTCATCTCTTACATGAAATTCACTGGATATACTCTGCAGTCAGCGACGCCTCACAGAAGCCTTGGACCTTCAGAAATCAGTATTAAAAGGCTTCAAGCTCTATCCAATCCTGCAAGCTTCGACAATTCCAAGTGAAAGTACCATCAATCCAATTTTGGATCTTCACCAACAGAATTACCTGGCTCATCCCGGAACCCATACACCGAACAATGTATTTCTCCAGCGCCAAGCGGGAGACCAGACCACGATGCAACCATGCACTTTACCACATAAAGCACATGTCTACCCATCGCCTCCTGTGATCACACAACTGTGGATATGCATCTAGGAGACGTTCCTGACCTACTTGAAACTGCTGGTGTCCACCGAGGCTTGGCACAGGTACTGGTATATACACAGGGCTGGTGACAGACTGGTGAACAGGATGGGCCTTACAGAGTTTGGGGGCAGCGAAGCAACACCTGAGCCAAGCAGCTCGGGCTCAGGGCACAAGCTCTTCACTGCAGCTCCTGGCCTTCCATGGAAAGCAGAGGCCCGGGCCTGGACATACCTGTGCACACCTTCCACTGCTGCGAGGCAGCACAGCGCCCTCTAACTTGTCCTCTTTCATGTTCCCTGGGCCCCGGGGAGAGCTGCTCATTCTTACCAAGACACCGACCATCCACGACAGACTGTCCTTCACAGCGTACAAACACCAGAAGGCATGGGGAGATAGTCAGTGCCTCTGTGTGAACTGGAAGAACTCTAAAGGCATGAAGGTGGCTCCAAGTTCAAAGTAACAGCTATCAGAGCAGGTCCCCAAATCTTACAACGGCTGATCCTGCTCAGTGTCAGTCTGTTTTACATGAATAACGGTTTGCTGTTTGTCCATCCAGGTTAAGGGGTAGCTGACACCAAAGCCGTGAGGAAAAATCTAGGGGAGGAAATTTTTAAATAGAGGAAATGCTCTCCTTCCAATTCCCTCCCCGGCTGCAGGTTGGGGGGAATGGTGTCATCACTGAATTCGGCTACAGAAGAGTTCTACCTAATGCAGCAGACACCAGAGCTCTTTGAGAGCTTAATTTGAAAAGCTCTGGCTTCATAGAAAGGAAGGAGCAGGTAAGATTTTTGTATTTGACTCAAGGCACTGATTATCAGAGCTCCTCTCATTTTAATAATGCTATTCGATTTTTTCCCAATTTCTCAAGCTTAAAATAGGAAGTCTGTATTCTTCATGACTGATGACCATTAAAACTAAAAATGGACATTTCTTCCAGTTTAAAAAGACCCCAGCCTTTGGCAGTGTGGCAAAGGGATGCACTTGGCAAAGATGATACTCAATTAGTTATTTGGTCCCAAGGATCCCTCCTTCCCAGTGCCAGAAAACACAATTAATCTTGGCTAATGGGGAATACCAACTATGGCTTTCACTGAATTCATCCGGATGTTATCACCGTCCCTCTGCTAGAATGCAGAACACAACAGTCTTTCTTCCCAAAGGCTGCCAGCTTCCTGGGAAGAAACTGGTTTTCCAAACAGTGCAAACCCACCCTGTGCTTCTGCTGCGTCAAGATCTGATTCTCCGCTGAGCACCAGATACTGCTCTCAGGTCCCCATTTACTTGATCAGGTCTTTGAACAATTGCCCTTTTCCCCCGATGGTAAATTAGCCAGTCAGGGAGATGCTGGCTACAAAGGTAAGTTACACAAGGAGCCAAATCCAAACCAAATCAAACAAAAAGGCATCTCTCAAACCCCCTTCTTGGCAGAGGCGAATTCACACCGCTGCACGGGAATACCGTGTGGGCGCAATGGCATGCATGTGTGTGCATGTGTGCGGGGTGGGGGGGATCCCCCATTCCAGAGTGTGCAGAATGCATACAGAAGAAGGAGAGAAGGACAGCGCTGTGGCATATGCAGAGCTCCTGCTCCAGTAACCCTCTGATTTTCCTGGCCAGGCCAAGGGCCAGAGGCAACGGTTGCTCCCACAGCTCCCAGCCCAGTCTGCGAAGGGCAGGATGAGTCATATGGGGCGCGCACAGATTCCCGAGAGGGACCCCCTTCTAAACACACAGGCTTTGTTAAATACGAAAGGTGTGTGACAAGGTGAGCTGTGGGCCCGCTGGTAAAGCTGGCTGTAACCGTATCATCTGCCTGACACGGGAGCGACCCATTGGCATTTAAAGGAAACGGAGCCTCTGTGTCTTCTAGAAAAACTCAAGTAATGCACGTGCTGTGAGCCCAAGTTCACACTGCGAGCAAAGGATTCCTAGGCCTGTTTTCACTTCTGTCTCGGAGGGAGAACCGCTCACTGCCTGAGGCCGAGGCCCTGGGTCTAGCAGAAGGCTTTAATGAGGCAAATACACCAAATGACTTAAGAGCTGTAAACAGGCACAAAATGAAATTCCGTCTTAGTCTGTGAAATTTTCTGCATGGAGGCAATAAACCTGAATTAAAACAACAACTGAGTAGAAAACCATCATTTGAAAGCAGGGCGCAGAATCAGGCATTTGGAGCAGGGAGGGATCCTGGCCATCATCCAGTCTGCGGTCTTAATTTTAAAGCGGCACAGTGACTAGATAAACCGGCTTTCCATGGCCTGAGCACTCCTCCCCAGCATTCCGGCATACGTCTACACGGAAAGAACGTCACATCAGGATCCAAAGTGCACAGCCCGGGGAGTGATGTCATGACCATGATGGAGGCCAGTGAAGGCTGGTCTTTAGAAAAGAGACACGATCTCTATTTGCCCAGGCAAAAGACACATTCAATCCCTAGACCACAGGTCCCAAGATATGCCTACAGACACTGGACATATGCTATGGCCTGGTCTCTCCTCCCCACGTGGAGTCTGTGAAAACGAAGGGGCCCCCAGTGGGACATAACCCAGGCTGCAGCTCCTGCCTCACGTGGGTTCTCCTCTGTTTCCTCACACGAGTCACGAGAAGAGCTGTTTCTCTGAAACCCACGTTGAGCCGAGACCTGTCTACAGCTATGCTCCTGCCCGGCTCTGCCTGTCACCAGGGGAAGTGGTGGGAACTGGTAGGAACGGGGGATGGGGGGATGACAAAGACTCGGGGTTATCTCCAATCCCGTGACAGGTCTGGGGCTGCTCGAATGCACAAAGTATCAGGCCTCCTGCTTGGGGAACAGAAAGGCCGGCCACCATCAGTGTTCTCATCAGCGCCAAAACAGCAACAGCGCAGCCTTTAGACCATTTCAAAAGTGTCTCCCAGCCTACATGGTATTTCTCAGATCCTATCCTACCAGTAAGGTGAGGACACAGCTGAGCCACTGTGGGAAACAGCACCATGGTATGAACAACTATGTCTGTGACTGTGGCTAAAATCCCTGGTCTGAAAGATAGATTAGGAAATCATTTTATTCAGACTGATTGGTCTATCAATAGGCCCCACATAGAGGCCTCTGTTTCTTGCAAAGATTCTTACACACAGGATGACAGAAAAAGGTCTTAAGGTTGGGCGCAGAGTATTAGATTTCTACAATAACGTGACTGAAATCTCTGTTTCTTAGATTTCGGAGTCTCAGAGTACTGACTACTGAAACGCTTCCCCTTTCATGGAAAAGCAGGAATCTTCCCCAGTGGGATGTTCCATTTCCAGAGACAAAAACACCTGGGAAGTGGGGGACTGTGTGCTTCTGGAAGCCACCGGCATCTAAATGAAGACCGCCAGACCAGGTCAGGCAGGCAAGGACACAAGGCTCTCCCGGCTGAAGCAGCATCATCGGGGTCAGGTGCCCCACGTCAAGGAGGACCCCCGACATGCTCCCCAAGCAGGGAGGGCTTTAAAAGGCATCGTCAAGGCCAAACCGTGCCCAGAGGCTGGCGTCCCCCTCACCCCACTGCAGCAGCCCACGATTAAGAGAGAATACTTACGGTGCCGTGGGATATGGTCAGGAAACCGTTTTTAACCGAACATTTCCTTTTCTGCCACACTTTTCGGATCCTTACAGATAAATGGGGGAGAAAAAAAGAGCTGAGCAATTTCGGACACAGGAGATCCTCACACACGTAACCTCCAGACACAGGGTCACTTACCCGTCACTCTTCTTGTACAGGTTGCCATTCCGCTCGGTCCCGTGCTCTTTGTTTCCCTGAGGCTGGTGCAAACTATAGGCTGTACTCTGGCGAAGTTGCGAATCCTAAAAATGGTCGAGAAGTTGTTTTTAATCCTGTCCAGATTCCAAGTTTTTAAAAAGCTGTCCTTAAGTTTGTTTTTTTTTTTTTAACTAGCGAAATGTCACCTATCGGCACACCAAAAAAAAAAAAAAATGGACATAAAACTCATACCTAGGAATTCGTTAATGCCACCTGTGAGGCTGAAGTAAATGTCAAACCAGCATCCCCCAACTGGCTGATGAAGAATGAGCCATTTGGAAGTTACGGATTTTACTTAATTATGAGATTTAAGTCCCTGATAATGGCAAGAAGCTCTTGGTGTAGCAAAAGCAGCCTCCACAAGAAAGGTAACAGATGTGTTAGAAAAGGCAGCACGTTTAGAAAAGAAAAATCCCCAATGTTTCTACCTCTTACTTTTAGGAAAGTTACGTAAGCTCCCTGCCTCAGTTTCTTCCTTGGAAAATAGGAAAACAATACCCAGTAAAATGGTAACTAGAGTAAGGCCTGAATAAGAGAACATGTGCGAACACCTGGTACATAACAGTATTGAACCATATTCCCTTTCTGACCCATCGACCCAGCAGAGGGGCTGAAGCACTGAACCCAACTGCCTCAGCCTTGGCGGGTAGACTGTTCCCTTGGCCAGCAGAGAATCTGGCGGAGTCTGCCCCAACTGGAAACTCTGGTCTTCAGCTTCTCAAGGCCAAGGACTGTCAGTGAAACCCTGGGTATCCAGTGGGTGCTCAACTATTGAACAGATGATATCCGAAGCCCCAAGCCAAGTGTGGAAAGGAGCTGTCCATACTAGCACTGGAAATTCCGGCAGACATAAGGAAATGGGGGAGCAAAACATGAACAGAGTTCACAGGCCAACTGTTTACGGAGAAGCTTCCACCCACTCCATTTTGTAACACGGGAAAAAGAAACATGATGAACATAAGTGATTTAGTTAAGATGCAGAGCCTGTTAGGGCGAGAGAGGAGAATGGAAGGGAATTCCAACGCCCCCTCGATGCTCCTTCCATGCGCCCTCACCAGAGGCTCTCTGTCTCATCTCCACTATCCTTGGGGAAACCAGGCACTGCTGAATGAAGAAAGAATTAACGCACGACAGTCAATGTGATCCAACCAAGAACACAAACACTCTAGAAGTGAAGGGCCAAGTGGAGGAAGCCACAGGAGTCTGGAGGGAGTTTTCAAGACGAAAGCAAGAAGAGGAGGAGAATAAGGGCAGGGTGTTCAAGGCAGAGCAGACAGCACATGAAGGCATGGAGAGGAAAGCGGCAGCTGTGGTCGTCCTCTAGGAAACCAGGACAGCTAGCGTAGCTAAGATAAAGTAGGCCAAGGCGTAGAAGGGACAGACAGACTTGAGTCAGAGTTCCACTTCTATCTGAAGACAATAGCAAGCCCCCTGACTTCTTGATAGTTTTAAAGGTTTTTGAAGCATAGCATTTTAAAATTTTGATGAAATTTATCTATTGTTTCTTTTGTCATTTGGACTTTAGATGTCACATCTAAGAAAACCTGGCTTACTCGAAGGTCATGAAGATTTATACCTATGTTTTTGTCTAAGAATCTTTCATGGAATGCCAGGGTGGCTCAGTGGTTAAGCGGCTGCCTTCGGCTCAGGTCATGATCCCAGCATCCTTGGATCGAGTCCCACAACTGGCTCCTTGCTCAGCAGGGATCCTGCTTCTCCCTCTGCCTCTGCCTGCCATTCTGTCTGCCTCTGCTCACTCTCTCTCGCTCTCTGACAAATAAATAAAATCTTAAAAAAAAAAAAAAAAAGAATCTGAGTTTCAGCTCTTACATTTAGGTCTCGGATCCATTTTGAGTTAATATTTGGTTATGGTGTGAGATAGGTATCCACATTCATTCCTTTGCTTGTGTCCATCCAGTGGTCCCAGCATCACGTGTTGAAAAGACTGTTCTTTCCTCACTGAATTGTCTTAGCGCCCATGCTGAAAAATCGACTGGCCATATGTCTAATGGTTTCTTTCTGGACTCCCAATTCTGTTTCACTTATCAATAAGTCTGTCCTTGCGGCAGTACCACACTGTCCTTTTTTTTTTTTTAAACTGTGTTATGTTAGTCACCATAATGTACCACATTGTCTTGATTATTACAGCTTTATGGTGAGTTCTGAAATCAGGAAGTGTGAGTCCTCTGACTTGTGTTCTTTTTCAAGACTGTTTGGACTGTTCTGGGTCCCCTGCATTTCCTTACAGGTTTTAGAATCAGCTTGTCAATTTCTGTAAAAAGGAAGAGGGGAGTTTGACAGGGATGGCACTGAATCTGCCAATCAGTCCGGAGGCTGTGGCCATCTGAATGGTATTAAGTCCTCCATTCCATGAACATGGTCTGTCTAGCACAGGTTTTTTTTTTTTTTTTTTAATATATAGGGGACTGTGAAATATATATGGGACAACTCTGCAAAATAAGAAAATTAAAAGAAAATCTTGATCTGAGAAAACAATAAAGTGCTCAGCATCCCATTATTGAACTGAGAACAAAGCCTAAAAAATCAGACCCCAAAACAGGAGAAATGTCCTCATTTTTCACAGAGAGTTCACACAGCACTCCTGCCTCCAGACAACCAGGGCAAACAACTCATTCATCAGGTGAGGACGGTGCCAGTTTCCACATTCTCTCAAAAGGGCAGAGTGTTAGCACTAGAAATCTAGAGCAAACCCAGCTTTAAGCACTACTGGGAATAAAAGCGGTGGAGGAGAAACAGAGAAGTTGCTCACCTATACTAATGTCTGTGAAAGACTAAAAATAAACCTGTCAAAAGACTAAATCGCACAACCAAGAAATACGACTATTGATTTAGGGAGAAAAAAAAGCCCTGCACAAAGTGAGTGGGGAGTCATGTGACAACACCGCTGGAAGTGCTCGCACCAAGCATATTAATCAGGACGCTCACAGGCCTTGTGAGCAGGATAAAGGGCGTTCCTCTCTTCAGCAGAATCAGACCCTTTGCCAGAGACTTTAAGGAAGAAATTATGGTTTTATTCTTTGCACTAGGCATTTCCTTAATCAATTAAAACATGGAAGCAAGTCTGCAGCTGTGCAATTTAAAATGTGTAAGTAAGAGGAACGTAATCCGTTTGACATGAAATTGAATCTGCTTTAGAACTAATTATTTCAGCATCTTTAAGGTGACCTCTAGGTGAGCCAACAAAAACGGCCTCTCTTCACCTGCTCATACAGGTATTTTATACAATACCTGACCAGGTAAAAGGGCAACAAATGAAGTCTGTGTTTTCACATAACCAAGACTGCAGCTCAATGAAATATAATCCAAGAGAAAATAGCCTGTATTTCTGAGGAAAAGAAAAATCTAACACACAGAGAGGCAAGTGGCTGGGGGCTGGGCTATCCACGTTACCCGGGCTCTCGGAGACTATCCATCACACTCGGCACTTCCCTAGAAAAGCCAAGGAAGCCTAGGACTTGACTGAGCGAGTCTTACAACATGGAGACTATCCGTATTTCTAAATCACACAGGTTAAGTGGGCATTTTCTGGATGCTCACAAGGCACATATCCTCTATCCTGTGACATCTCTGCAAGTTCTCAGACTTGGAACCATCCGTGACCCTAAGGTTCATGTGGCCATACGAAGTGTTACATAAGGGTCCTGCAAAGACAGATTAGCAGCAGATTTAATATTTGAGGACAGGGGAAAAAAGAGTGATGACGTTGCATATGTTATACACATAAAGGTTTACACATTACATCAGAAGTAACCCTGAGATCCCTAAGACCCTAGAACATCATAAAAACTTACACACTTTAAGGGTGCCTGGCTGGTTCAGTCGGTTAAGTGTCTGGTTCAGCACAGGTCATGATCCCGAGATCCTGGGATCGAGCCCCACATTGGGCTCCCTGCTCAGCGGGGAGTCTGCTTCTCCCTCTCCCTCTGCCCCTCCCCCCCGGTCATGTGCACGCTCATGCTCTCGCTAATAAATAAATAAATAAATAAATAAATAATCCATCTAAAAAATGACAACAAACTCACACACTTTATCTGTCTGACCTCTTAGAAAGTCTGTATTCAGATAATTCTTGTGATGAACGGATTGCCAAGGAGTCACCCCTGGATGCTTAAAGTTTCTCTACCAAGGGAGAGCGGTCATGTCCAAGTATGTCCCACACACGCCCAGGCACCTTCTCAGGGCACAACAGGTGGCCCACTCTCACGGACACAACCAGGAGCTGGAGGCTTTGCTAGGCAGGCGCCAAGCCACGGTCTAAGAACAGCACTTTCAAATCTCACTCCCACACGTTCTCCATTATCTCTGGGTATTTTTTAAGAAGCTTCTGATACGTGGTGTTATTAAAGTCACATAACCTGACTAAAGGGAACAGGCTTGCAGTGGAATAGACCAGGGTTCAAATCCAGGCTCTGACACTGCTGCGTGGGCTCCAGCAAGTACGCTTTTCTCCCCTCTCAGACTCCCGTTGCACCTGTGGACTAAGCCCAGCTGCCCGCGGCCTGTTGTCTGGATTCTAGTCGCAGTTATCAAGTGCCTGGAAAAACCCAGAAATGAGGCAAGCAGGCATGGCTGAAGCACAGACAGACTCTGATGCTGAGAGGCGACAGGCAGTGGTGTGTGGAGGCAGGCAGTCGGGGAAGCAGGAGAGCCGGGGATCAGGAGTGGGGACGATCACTGGAGGTTGGGGTGGGGTGGCTCCTAAGTCAAGGCGGGGAGGAGCATCAAGTGGGCCGAAGGACGGCCTGTCAGAGACAACACCCCAACTTCCATCACTGTGCAACCACCAAGGGTGGGAATTACTTATTTTCTTGGCTCACTTAGGCTCTTCTGCATCTGTAAGCACAGTCTCCGTTAAATGAATGAACTACAAGCTATTTCTCAAGACAATGTGTGGAGTGCTTTATAGAGACTCTGCTCTAGACCTCGTAACAACTCTCCGAGGTTGTATGGCTCCTAACAGTATCATTCCTGTTGCACAGAAGGGACCAAGGCGTGGGGGGATCAGGGAACTTGCTCCACGCCATCCTAGTAGGAAGTGAAGACCTACGGTTAATTCAAGCTCTTCTGCTCTGCTGGACAGTTTCGCAGGCGAATTTTCCATCCTGGTCAGCACTGGCCCACCTGCCCCACCTGCTGGGACTCTGCGGACTCTGAATCCCCTCCAAACCCACATTCCCGACACACGAAGCTGCCCGGCACACACACCCGTCTCCCACACGGGGGAGACACCTGTCCTGGGAGCTCCCTGCCCCTGGAGCTCTCCCCAAGTTTCTGACCCTACCCCCAGATTGCAAGCCCTTCAAGAGGCCAGAACTGTTACCTATCTTACTCTGTGCGGTGCCTGGCCTAGAGTAAATGCTAAGAAAATGGGAGTTGAGGGCGCCTGGGTGGCATAGTCAGTTGAGCCTTTGGGCTCTGATCACGATTTCACGGTCATGAGATGAGGCCCCGCATTAAGCTCTGTGTTCAGTGCGGAGTCGGCTTGAGATGCTCTCTCCCGCTCCCTCCCCCGCAACTGCTCTCTCCCCAAAATGAGTAAAATCTTAGAAAGAGAGAGAGAGGGGAGAGAAGAAAATGGCAGTTGAATGTGTGACCAACGAACAAGTCTTCCATGCAGGGCAAACTTAAGGACAGTCGGGCCACTGGGAGCTTGGCAGAAAGGAAGTGAACACCTGGCCGGAGGGGTGTGATTAAAGCCAGATTCAGGCATGATAAGATACGCGAGCCTACACCAGAAAAGCCCGAGCCAGAAGCAAATTCTGGCCGTCACAGAACTATGCTCCCTGGACAGCACGTACTGTTCAAACACATCCCTACCGGACAGGGACACTTGACAAGTGGGAGCACAGGGGCGCCTGGGTGGCTCAGTCGGTTAAGCGTATGCCTTCAGCTCCGGTCATGATCTCAAGGTCCTGGGACCGAACATTGGGCTCCCTGCTGGGTGGGGAGCCTGCTTCTCTCTCTGTGCCTCCCTCAGTTTGTGCTTGCCCTCTCTCAAATAAATAAATAAAATCTTTAAAAAAGAGAGAGAGAGAGACAGAAAGAAAAGGGCGGGGGGAGCCTAAAGCTGACATAAAGAGAGACCACACCTGAGATGTCCAGAGTGGGAAAATCATTGTGGTGTCAGCCCTCTGGCCTACCAACACTGGCTCCCAGAGGCCGAGCCCTCCCGCAAATGGCATAAGTCTGGGTTCTCAACAGCGAACAGCAGAGAAGCTCACACCGACAGTGAGGTTTTGTCAGAGAACCTGCCAGCACTGCAGTGGAATCTGTCCACAGGACTCCACTGAGATGGGACGTACGTGGATGGGGAAGCAGAGAAGGCTCATGCAAGAATGAGCAATACTGGACGACGGCTTTAACTTTCCCAGGTGTTAAAACTACGATGCACAGGGGCGCATGGGTGGCTCAGAGGGTTAAAGCCTCTGCTTTCGGCTCAGGTCATGATCCCAGGGTTCTGGGATCGAGCCCCGCATCGGGTTCTCTGCTCAGCGGGGAGCCTGCTTCCCCCTCTCTCTCTGCCTGCCTCTCTGCCTGTTTGTGATCTCTGTCAAATAAATACATAAAATCTTTAAAAAACAAAAAACAAACAAACAAAAAACTACGATGCATATATAAGCATTTACTGCACAGGTATTTCTTCTATAAGCCTGAAAATTTTCGTAATAAAAGTGCAAAAATCAAACATCACAATCTTCTTTACAGACAGCAGAAATACCAAAAAATACGAATGCCAGGAGGTATGGGGGCACCGGGATCATAACGGCACAGTCTTCTTCCCAAAATGTGACAAAGAGAAGCAGCCCAAAGCCGCCATATACAAGAGCCATGTTCTTCACAAAGACCACATGACTGAGGTTTGAGACCCACAGGAAGGAAACCGGAGAGCAGCTCCCACCAATCATCAGTGCAGTCTCCCTGGGGCATGTTACCTAATTCACATGAACTGAAATTCTTTAGTCACTTAACTGACTGAGCCACCCAGGCACCCCATGAACTGAAATCATGCAGCAAGAATTTTTGTAAACGTTAAATAAAAACTATCAACACCTTCAGCTTTCTAAGTCTGAGAGAGAGAATCCAAAAAAAAGGGAATGAGAGCTAAATAAGGAGAGAGCCCAATGGTCAATTCTTGCTGTAACGGGAAGAGACAGGACCTCAATCGTAAAATGTTTTTAATAATATATAAAATTCCACTTATCCACATTTCCTTCTTCCCGGTGCCTGTGTTCAAAGACCATCCGATCTATGGAATACCATCATCAAAAAGCAATGCAGAGATTAATACAACCAGTACGACACAACCACGGGCAGGAGACTGGAGAGTTCCATCTTTGGGTGAAAGCTGAAGAGGAGCAGTAAAGAAGGTTCTTAGGATCCCTCTGGGCAGTTGTGGGCAGCTGGGCTGGTCAGCAAAAACACACGAACTCCACAAACTGTAAAGACTTCTGGTGTGTGCTGGTGGATTTGCTACACTTTTCTGCAAAGCCATAAATTAGCAGCTGATGACAGGCAGTTTCCCCAAACCTCCTAATTCGGCTCAGCCCAAGTAAACATGGCCTTTGTACTGTGCCCAGAGGACCATTCAACTCCAGCCTCTGCTCTCCTCTATTGTAAACCTGAGCTTGGCTTTGTGGGTTTGATGTTCCTCTTCAGACCAGAGCGGCTCTCAGCGCCCCCAAGAGCTGTGCTGGGGAGCTGGCTGCTCTGACAGCGCTGGGGCTCCCACACCAGCATCAATGCTTCTAGTCACATCTAAGCCACTATTTTCTCCATACTCTAAGATCTTTTTTTCCATTTTATTTTTCTGCTTATTGCCCACGTTTGGGAACATTAAAGTGTTAGGATCTATATTCTCCAGACTGGGAGGAAGCCACCATCCCATGGGTAATTTCGAGCACTCACATATGACCTCGATCTGCCAACCTCACTTAGCTGACTCATGTCTATCGAAAGCCTAGTAAATGAGCAATATGGTCCCACAATGCGATGGCCGGCGAGGCACAGAAGGCAGGAGGGCATCCTCAAGCTGCTCAAGGTCTAGCTAGAGAAAAAGCATCTGTGCACTTGAAGATACAGCCAATAACCCATAAGGAGTCTGTCCTGACTGAAAGAACAGGAACTCAGATCACCAGGGCTGGGGTGAGCAGAGGGGGTCTCCAGAAGCACATGAAGAATTCAGCTAGGTAGTGGAAGGGGAGGGAGGGGGTGAGTCACTCTGCTTCCAGGAAGGGACAACAGCAAACGTATAAACCTCAAACTTGGAAATTTTCCATTCAGTAGTATTTGTGAATCCAAATTCTTTACCCTTTAATAAAACCCACAGAAAGGGTTAAAATTAAAAATGCTACTGGCGGGGGCGCCTGGGTGGCTCAGTGGGTTAAAAATGCTACTGGCTATTAATGTATGCATGGAAGGAAGTAATTTAAATTCATGAAGAAAGCATGCAAAACTCTCCAATTGATTAAAATGCTGAACTACTTACTCTCCTAGACTTCGGTCACAAAGGTAAATGCATTTGGGAGAGAAACAACAATATTCAGTTTTAGTACAGGAACTTAAAATTGAGCATAGCAAACTGCCCACCGTGACCTTCACGCTCTGCTAAGTAGTTTAATCATTATTTATCTGAAATTGACTAGCTATACATTTAGATACATTCCTTTATGTACAAGGAAGGGGATTATGTTAAATTTCATATTATAATACCCACCCTGTAGTAAACAGATCGTAGAATTACCTTAAAAATTTACTTTTTAACATGTTTTTAAAAATCCTCCAAAACACTGTCACCGTGGATGTGTCAGCATGCAGGAAAGGGATTATAGGAAAGAGGTGATCCCAGAGAAACTGAGGGCTCCTGCTCATGGAAATGCCACTGTAAGAGCGTCTAGGTCCCCATGTTTTAGAGTGGGATCTCAGGGCTGAGGGTGCGGTGGCTACCTGGTGATGCCCAAGTGGGCTGCAGCCACATATACAGGGCCACGGAAATCACAAAGTTCCAGGCAGAAAATCAAAAGCATTGATACCGAGTACCCATGTAACAGATGTTGAGAGCTACTCATCTAAGACTAGAGAGCGGAGGGGTTATACACTGCCATGAAGGCTGGGTCTCCAGTAAACAAACACTCGGCCCATGAAATAAACAGATCTAAAAAGATGGGTTTCAGAAAACCAAACTTACGGAGTAAACCACACACTCAGTGCTGGCCCAATAGAGCCCCAGAGTGGACCGTGAGCTCCTGGAGGACCTGAATGTCACGTTCGTCTGTCCCAAAGCCTCCGAGACACAGGTATACAAGAGCCATCTTTCAAAATTAAATCCCCTCACCTCTTTCTGTTCAACCTGCAGAGCTGATTTCAGAATATCTCGAAGCTGTATCAGCTGCCTTCTTTCTTCATCCTGGGCCTGTTTGATCTTTAAAAAACAAAACAAAGAGAGAAACAGGGCTGAGGTGCAGGGAGGTGCTGGAGGTCACAGGGCATGGCCACAGAAATGCAACAAATGCTTCCCTCCCCACCACCGGCCAGGACAGCGATGGCCACGGGGACTCCATCGTCCACGGGGCCACCCGGCTGTCAGCTTACAAATGTGGGATCATACAGAAGCAACATTTAAATCAAAGCATTCGTTGCATAAAAACTGTTTCAACACTCATTTATGTGGGAGGGAAGCCACTTACTGTGTGAAGGTCTGTTGAAAGTGTCTCAATGGAAGGCTTGAGGCTCTCAACTGCTTTCAGTCCGTCCTGGAAAAAACTAAGAGGAAAAAAAGAGACAGAGATAGTGTTTCATAAAAGAGGAAACGATGCTACTACATGGAGAAAACACTCGTTTAAAAGAAAGTGAGTGAACTCATGATGTAATTCCTGGGGGAAAAGACTATATAAAACAAACTTCAAAGTATCAGGCAAACAAAGAATAAAATGACACTTAAATCGGCAAGAAGTGACAGAAAAGGACCCGCAGTAAGTGTGTTTATAATTGCTCTTGACCCGTATGAAAGGAGCCCTAAATTTTCAGTGTATAATGGGAAGTAGGCACCTACTGACAAAAGGCAGTGAAGGCGCTGGTTTGGGAATGGAAAAGTCTGAGGTCAGAAAAGTATGGGAAGTAAGTAAGAGCTAGACACTAAGAAACCTTCCTGCACAGTCAACAGCTAAGTGGAAAAGAGAAGGCGGAGGGGGAAAAAAACAAACAAAAAAACCCCAAAACAAAGCAAGTCTGATGCAGGTGAATGGCCACACCCCATCTACAGAGTAGGGAAATGTGGCTGGAGAACTTGAGATCACATATCAAAAGGAAACTTTTTAAAGCCCAGAACTCCATGCTTGTGAAGTCGTTTATAATAAGTGATGCAGGAAATATAAGAGGAGCTAGACAAGTTTCTCTGTACCACGGCGGGTCGATGCTCTCAGCACTGCCTCTGATGCATGCCATAGAACCCTTTTGAGGGGAATGTAGAAAACACTTTCCCATAAGCTCAGAGCAAAGTTCAAAACATAACAAGGCCCTGTATGATTTGGCTTCTGCCAAATCTATGTCCCCAAGCTTCTATGTCCCCAAGCTTCAGGTTGCATCATTTGCCCCTTTAAAGCATTCACTAGATTCCAGAGGTAACAGCCTTCGGTCAATGGCCATCAGATCCTTCCTGCCTCAGGCCCTTTGCATATGCTATTTCAGTTTTCCAAAGAGTTCTCCCTGCAGATATCTTCTGTTTTGCCTAGATTATTCCCACCCACTCTTCAAACTTTAAGTTAGCTATCACTTTGTTAGTGAGGGTTCCATGACCTCTTAAAAGAAGTCTCCTTGCTATAATGCCTCAGAGCACTGTCTCTTGCTTCAAAACCCTTAGCACAGGGTACCTGGGTGGCTCAGTTGGTTACGCAGCTGCCTTCGTCTCAGGTCATGATCCCAGAATCCCGGGATCGAGTCCCGTGTCAGGGTCCCGCCTCCCTGGGGAGTCTGCTTCTCCCTCTGACCTTCTCCCTTCTCGTGCTCTCTCTCACTGAATCTCTCTCTCAAATAAATAAATAAGATCTTTAAAAAAACCACATACACACAAAAACCCTTAGCACAACTAGCATTATGTAGTCATTAGTGTGATTATTTAAAATATACCCACCCTCCCTTAGACCCAAAGTTCTAGGAGGTTGAAAGCATGGTATCCACAAAGCCTGGCACATTTCAAGCACACGGTATTTGTTGAATGAAAACATAAATTAATGAAGGAAGGAAGGAGTCTCCAATTTCAGCCAGGTAAGTGGAGGGAGATGATCTTCAAAATGTGATCTGGGTTTCTCACGTGTTCATGTGAGATGACGTTCACCAACTCTGAAATTCAGCAAGGGTACTGCGGGACCTTCCCAGGTGAAGTATGCAAGGAACAGACGGGGCTGTGAGGGTAATGTGGCACGACACTGAATACAGTAATTCCGAGCAGGAAGGGAAATACACACACAGGATGTGGGTTCTGAACCATTACTAGCCAGGCATGAGGAATCACAGAACCTGCACTATGAGAATGTTCGAAGCTTAATTTTTAGATATATGCATAACTCTTTACTTTATATTCTCATCCCTACATTTTACCTAATGCTTTTTTCTTTTTTTTTTTTTTTCCTAATGCTTTTTTCTTGAACATGGAATATGCTTGGGATACGGCAATGGTGACTTCTCCAGGGCTCTGTGTCCACTGTCTTCTGACCTCTGAGACCCTGAGATTATGACCTGAGCCAAAATCAAGAGTCAGACACTTAACTAACTGAGCCATCCAGGTGCCCCACGTACCCTCCTTTTTTTTTTTTTTTAAAAGGTTTTTTTTATTTGACACGGAGATAGAGAGTACAAGTAGGCAGAGTCGTACCCTCCTTCTTAAGGCATGTTTTGGCACCTAGGTATGCCCTCCCTCAGGGAGGGAGTTTCAGGCCTTAGAGAAAGTTTCAAAGAAAGGGGCTCTGTCACCGCTTTGCTGGCTGTTACCATTGTGACATCTTTTTTTTTTTTTTTTAGTTTTAATTTTAAATTTTATTTTTTATTTTATTTTTATTTTTTGCTTTTATTTTAAATTTTATTCTTAAAATTTTATTCTCTATACCCAACATGGGGCTCGAACTCACAACCTTGAGATTGAGAGTCACATACTCTACCAACTGAGCCAGTAAGATGCCCCATCACTCTGACATTTCCTTTTTTCCCCCTTTTTTAAGATTTTCTTTATTAGAAAGAGAGAACAAGTCGGTGGGAAGGGCAGAGAGAGAGAGAGAGCAGCAGACCCCCCGCCGAGCAGGAAGTCCGATGTGGAGCTTGATTCCAGAACCCTGAGATCATGACTTGAGCCAAAGGCAGACACTTAATCAGCTGAGTCCCCCCTGCCCCGTGGTCACCCCCACTGTGACATTTCTAAGTACAAACCCTGGCACATGTTTCTTAGGTTGAACCATTGACACTTTCCCAAGCTTCAATCAATGTTTACCATCAATATTACTAAATATCAATTTTGTTTTTTATTAAATGTTTTCTCCCCAGTCTGACCAAACTCTCAAGCCTTTAAAACACGCCCATTGCGATTCAATCTTCAAGCTCCCACCAAGCAGGGTGGCCTCTCCCTCTGGCTACAGGCTTCATGAGAGCACCCCTTCCTCATGGCCCAAGACCCACCTGCCCTCCGCACCCTCAGCCTGTGTCTCATTCAATGGCATATCCCAAGTACACCTGGCAACAGCTGGTCATCGTGGTTCTCAGCGGGTAACTGCTCAAAGAACAAGTGAACTCAACATTCGTCACCACTAGAACACGGCTGCTTTTGTTTTATTATCCTTTTAGAGACTGCCCTACTTCTAGATTCCAAAGCCTCAACCTTCAGCAGCAAAGGCTATTAAGACAGATTTTAAGGCTATTCCAGGAGCTAGGCAGAGATGCAACTTCTTTCTTTAAACGAAATAAAAAACAAAGAACATGAAACTACTTCAAGAACACTGAAAGTGAAAAGCAAAAATGAATAAAATGCAAGATAATAGATATGTAGGCGGTTCTAAGGGTGACCACCAAACATGACTCCAGAGTCTAGTCTACACCAAGAGGCCTCTTCATACCTGCAGAGACAGCGGCGTGGGAGAACGCGTGGTGGCCACGCAGGCTGCTCCAGGCCATCCGCGCACAGCGCCCACTTGGGGTGAGGACAGGAGACTGGGAACGCTAACTGGGGAACATGCAGGAGCTCCCAGAACAAAAAATGCACGGCTACATGGTCCTTTGTCCAGTGGCTGAGTCACTCCAGCTCTGCATTTTATCCCCCAGAATGGGAATTAGGAAAGTCAAAGCTGTGCAAGTGAGGGGAAGAACAGGCAGTACACACACAGGCAGTGTATACACACACACACACACACAGAGGAAGTAATGGAAGATTCATCGTTTTTAAAGGTTACTGAGCTCATGCCCATAAAAGGCCAACTAGTTCACTTTTCCACAAGTGGTTTGTTGCTACCCAACGGATCAGTTTGGGCAAAATAAAGAGAAAAAAGGAAATCCCAGAATAGTATCTTAGAAATAAAATATTAGCAAGGAAGCGACCCACTTCCTAATCTGCCTCACACGAGGTTACAAGCATGAAAACCAAAGAAGTCATCCGCATGGTAATCACAAAGCTAGAATTTTGAGTCTCTATAAAATAGTTCATCTCGGAAATTCTACAAATTAGGGGTCTTTCTCCATCCTCCGAGACTCTTCCTCCAAGCCTGGAGCCCTTCCTCTAACTCAGGACGAACCATACGGCACAGCTTCCTTCGCTGCTGGACCTCAACTGCTTCACAGACGCACAGTCATCAACGCTGTATCACAAATTCCAAAGTCAAGCTGAGTCAACCGTGCAACTCACCACAACAACTATGTGCCAGGTACATGTACCGCGCACTGAAGATGAAACAGATCAGTGTCATGGCCTCGTTCCAGAGAAGACCCAGTTGGGTGGGAGACACGACAGTGTAAAAGATACCATCCTGGAGATACAGAGCTGGGAGAGTGATAATGCAGAAGGAAGAGAAGTAATTCCAGCAGGGGAAGACCGGGCGACATTAAAGGAGCAGTAGGCAGGTCTCAAGGATGACCAGAAGCTAGAGGAAGGCACAAAGGGAGCAGCAGGACATTCTAGCAAAGAGAGCTGTGTGTGCGAAAGTATATCAGTGTGGGACACAGACTGTTTGGGGACAAGTGACAGACAGGTGGGGCAATTCAACCTCCAAGGATTTCTCAACAGCTGGCTTTGTCAGCAGTCTAGGCCAAGACAGCACTGTTCCCAGATGGTGCCGGGGCAGGACTGTGTCCTTAAGTGATCGCCCATACCCCTCCTCTTTGTCTCTTAGGACAACAGGAATGGAACTGAGAAGTCTTCCCAGATGTTTCCCATCAACTCTGCCCTCTCTCCTCCCATTGCAATGTTCCACCTGTTCACAGCCATGCCCACTCCCTAGAACTGCTACATATTTTCTCCTGTGTTTACTGCTTATCCACGCCATCAAAACCAAAGGTTCATGCGTACGAAGTACCACGAGAACCTCAAACAGTGCCTGGCACATAGCAGGAGCTCAATATCCGCTCAATGAATCCCCTCCTTAAAACTTTTGAGAGCTTCCTAATACACTCAGAATAAAATCTAAAACCTTTCACAAGGCTCCTAAGGCTGTCCACATTTCTTGCCTTTCCGTCCGGTTTCATGTCACACTACCCTCCCCCTCACTCATTATGCTTATGTCACGTTGGGCTTTTTCCTGCCTTGAGATCTAGACTTTGCCTGGAATGTTCTTCCCCTACTCCTTATCTGCTAGATCCTTTAGATCTCCGAATACATGTCTCCTCAAAGACGCGTGCGGCTAGTTCAAAATGAATTTGAATATCTACTATGCTCTAGGTACTATGTCTGGAGGCTGGAGAACACAGCAGGAAGAGGGAAAAAAAGGGAGAAAAATCTTGTGTCTGCCCTCAATCTTGATTTCAATCAGGTCCTTCTCTTCTATTCTTTCTTAGATTCCAACACTTCCAAACACGTTTCAAATATGCAATCATAAACCTATTGCTTAAGCCCACCTACCTACCTAATTCGAGCAGGGACTACGTCTGTGATGTACATTCTTCTGTCTCCGGCAACCAGGATGGTGCCGGACACACAGCACCCACTCAGCAAGTGAGAGGTGAGCCAGGGGCCGGTCTGTGTGACGACTGGCGGTCAGGCAGAAGTGGGGGGAGCAAGCGTGGCACGATGAGGGTCAGGCTCTGTAGGGCCCACGTGCGGGCCAAGCTGAGTACGTGAGGTAGCCCCAAAGATGGAAGCTTCTCCTCTATCATATTCAGCCTCTTTAGCTCAGCATTATCACTTGCTTTATAGGATAAATAATATATTGGGGCGCCTGGGTGGCTCAGTTGCTTAAGTGTCTGCCCTCAGCTCAGGTCATGATCCCAGGGTCCTGGGATCGACCCCAGCTTGGGCTCGCTGCTCAGCCAGGAGTCTGCTTCTCCCTCTCCCTCTCCCCCTCCTTCCTCTCCCTCAAATAAATAAAATCTTTAAAAATATAAATATGTGGAAGTATTTCTTTGATTTAATATACTGCATTAACCCCATTTAATTTCTTGCAAACAAAAACCATCTGTGAATCATGTGTTAGATCAAATAGCATGTCCCTCTGCAGAAAAGAGCAAAGTAAATACATCTGATCAGTACTATAGACTTTATATTGTTTACTTTTATTGTTTATTGAGAAAGATTCTTAAACCACAAAATTTGCCCTTTTAAAGTGTACAATTCAGTGGGTTTAGTATATTAACAAAATTGTGCAATCATCAGCACCATCTCATTCCAGAACATTTTCACTACCCCAATGAGCAGTCATTCCCCACTCCCCCTAAGCTCTGGCAATCACTCATCTGTAGAGCTACTTATTCCTGATCTCCCAAGTAAATAAAAACCTATAGGATATGGCCTTTTGTGTCTGACTTCTTCCGTCTAACATGTTTTTCCAAGGGTTGCCGTGTTAATAGCATGGGTTAGTACTGCACTTTATGAGACTTTTAAAGGAATATTTATTTTCCCCGATCCAACACTATGTTATCTACCAAAAGTGGCCATAAAGACAGAAACAGCTGAAATAACATCACAACAAAGAAAAAGAACTTACTTGCACTGGGCATGAAAATATTTGATCAGATTCTGAAGTAAATCCACTCCCTTTTTAATCTTAATTTCATTGACCTTCAGCAGATACTGTTAAGAAAAACACAAAAGGGTATGTCAGACCCAGAACAGGCTTCTGAGCAGAGATCGGCTTCTCTGCTTCTCGGACAGCTTTCACTGTGGGGAGAGGTCACGGCAGGTGGTGAGTATTTTCTGAAACACCAGAAACTACGTATTTTTCTCATTTTGGTGCCAAATGAAATATCCGACATCCAAGTAATTAAATATTTAACTTAAGGCACCAAGAACTCCTAGTAGTAAGGTACTGGATCTTAACCCGCTAGAGCACATTTTCTTGGAGCTGCACAGAGAAGGCAGATGGTTGGAGTGAATGGGCTCTTTCTGTCTGCATCCTTTGCGCCACCCGCCGCCCCTTCTCCGGGCAGGTCATGGTCTGCAACACTAACTGCCACTGTTCAGTAGTTGAGACTCTTGTCACCACGTCTCTAATCCTGGCATTGAAGAAAATGGGATTGTTATAAAAACGAAATTTTAAATCAAAATGAGCGAAAGTCATTTTTAACTTGGAGAACTCAGGAATGATCACTAAAATATCCGGAAGTCCCAGGAATCTACAAAACCAGCCTCAGGAAATCCATTTGTTTTTTGCTAAAGTTTTACAGAACAAAGACTCCATAAATTCCCTGGCCCCTCCTCTGTCAGGAAGTGGCATAAAGAACTCCAAGAACATGTCATCCCCGAGACTGGATGCCTCCGGAAGAGGGGCCACCCCTGCTGACCACACAGGCTTCACAGCCATAACCTGGGAAGCTCACAGTCAAGTCGCAGAGTCCAGCCGGAGAGGAAGCTGCTCTGAAACAGCTGACAACAAAATCTGCTTTTCCGACATCAAGCACCTTTACGTGTTCTCCTTCCCTCGGTCTGACACTTACTCACTGTTAACTGAATAAGATGCTTGGCAAAGCCTCAGAATGCTTACGTGGTTAATAAGATGGTTCACTTTGACTTACATTTAAGTCAAAACTTAAAATGTAGATCTTTGACACAGAAATTCTACTTAAGGGAACTTATTCTCCAAGAGGATAATTGTAAAAGTTTACAAAGATGATTAGAAAACAAGGTTCAGTGCAGACTTGTTTGTAAAAGTAACGAATGGCAACCCAAATGTAACGAATGGAAAATTAAAGTATGGTTCAGCCGCACACAAAAATTGCTATGTAGCCATGAGGCCAATAAAGCAGAGACTTTCCGGCACCGAGAATGCTCATGACATACGAGTGAGTCAAAATAATCAGGTTAGAAAGCACCAGTAGAGAACAATCCTGTTTATACAAATTATTTTTATGAAGGTACAGAGGAATATATGAAAGATGTCAAAGCACTTATCTTCTGGTGAGTAAAATTTGGGGTGATTTTTAACTTCATATATATAGACTAATTTTTAAAAGAGCCTATTTTTATAATCACAGAAAACCAACAGGATCTCTCATACATTCCCCACGCACAGATGCTCTGTCCTACCTATTTAATTAGGGCAAACTGAATTCTCTAAAAAACTCGTTTTGCATTTAAAATAAACACCTGAAAGCCATCCTTCTAGCTTCGATTTTGGGCAACTAAAATTTTAAACATCTAAACGGTGGAAAGCATTTATGAACCTTGAGACATCTCGTGCAAGGATCTGGTTGAACGATTTTACCATGATCAAGTTCAGCCATCTATTCACTCTGAGATGTCAGATTGGGGGGGGGGGGTGCGTTGCGGGGGCTGCTTTTCAAGTGTTCCTCCTTCCCCCGTGGACAGCACATTCTAGCCCACTTCTGTTTGGCCCGCGTGGCCATCCTTCATGGGATGTGTCCTCCTCTGGTGACTCCGCCTCTGCTTCTGCACGCGTCAGGCTAACTGCCAGAGCTCTGAGGCTCAGCACACCTGAGGACCCAACCTCCCCACCCCCCGCACCCCTGCGGGGGGTTGGGGCTGGCCCAGCAGGTGTGTGACTGAGAGCCGGCCTCTAGACAGTACCTTTCCAGCACAACGGACTATTTCACCAGTGCACAGGACGCATTCACCTAGACCTGGAGGGGAAAGGTGACTTGTCTGGTGCACAGCACAGCAAACAGTGCAGCACCCCTCACTTCACCCCTTACTTCAAAGACACACTAATTGAGTTTCACAATTCACTAGACGTTTTTCAACAAGCAGTCTTTTGCAGTTTAAGCAAATGTGTTTCCTCCCTACCAGCCAAAAAAAGAGAGTATAACCTGAACACAACATACATACACACACCTGTTCCAAACCCATTCTTTGTAAAATACCGCTACGTAATTTTACTGCAATTATACAAAAACAATACCTAGTATTTGTGTAACAGACAGCAATTTCCCATCCCATCTCAGACCTCTGGGCTGATTCCTCTAACACCGTGTGAAATGGGCCAGGCAGGTATTGTTCCCTATGAGATCTGTTTGCAAAACAAAGTGGATCTAAAAATATCCACTCTCCTCTCTACAGTAAGACTGGGAGCTTAGTTAACTTTCCAAATATTCACTTAATGAAAAAAAAAAAAAAGCAAAGGAAGAACAAAGGAACAAAGAAGACAAGAGACACAAAACGACAGACAGCAGACTTACATAAGCGCAAGCACATCAGTAGCAACGTCAGATGTGAACAGATGAAACAATCCCATCAAAAGGCAGAGACGGTCACTAGATGTAAAAAACACTGTCTACAGGAAACACACTTTAGAGTCACAGATACACACAGGCTGAAAAAGAAATTCCATGCAAACAGAAAAGAAGAGAGCTGGAGAGGCCGTCAGGCTAATAGCCTGTCCTCTATCCTGTAACTGGTTCTGCTCCACTGACCAGTTAAGAGATCGCTCTGGGAATAAAAAGTCATTTAAATAGACTCCTAAGATAGACACTTCTAAAAGCTAGACCCCCGTTGCAATCAACAAACATTCTGAAGTCCAGAAGTGCCGTGTGGCTTAGCTCTGCTGCTGCCTGCTCCCGGGGCACTGAGAGCACACTGGGTCCGCTTCAGGAGCTCTCATGGTCGTCCCCACACTGTGCACACGGAAAGCTGAAGTCTGCAAGGCCTTGCACGCACGCCGTCCAGCTCAAGGGGTTTCATCTCCACTACCAGGTGAGTGAACCCTCAGGCAGAGCTGGGCGTGGTTTCCGGAGGTGTTTTTTTAGAAAGACCCACAAGCAAGGCATAAAAAGGCTGGAAGCAAAGGGTTGGGTTTGGTTTCTGGTATTTTCCACCCCTCAGCCTCTAGCAGGGACCCGTCCAGAGCATCAGTGCTGCCCTTTCCCTCCCCCTCCCCAGAGGCAAGGGCTAAGGCAGCAGAACAGAGCTGACCAGAGGCGCTCCTGAGGGCCTCCTGCCTTGAGGAGTGAGTCTGGGGAGAAGCACCTTGCAGGCAGGTGGCTCAGCTTCCTGTAGAACGTGCTTCACTCTCTCTCTCACTCAGACCACGAGGGCCCAGCTGCAGGCTTTCCAGCTGCCTTCTCCCTGGCCCTCCTCACAGATTCCACCGTATAATGGGAACCGAGACACCTCATTAAAAACACTAACGGAGAGACAATTGTAGCAACATACCAGCGCCAGGTGAGTCTGGGTACGTGTAGGAGGCCAGACAGGACGTTTCTTTAGATCCTTCTCTACCTTTAATTAATGGCTAGTGTTAGATTCAGCTCAGCCCACCCTCCAGGACACTCAGGCTTCCCTAGTAAGAGAAATTGGACAAATGGAGTCCACTGACGCATTGGTGTGCCGTGGAAGCCTCCGGGAGGTGTGCGCTCCTTGAGGAGTTCACAAGCTGGTGAAGGCAGGCTGTCTGCAGCCCACCTAGAACCCATAACCTGCTGGAATCTGCACAGGCCCCTCCCAACCCCGGCACCCTGGGGCTCACCCTGCACATCGGTAGCTGCAGCCTGCACCCCCAGGGCTCCCCTTGCACATCTGGAGCCCGAGTCCACACTCCTGAGGCTCCCCTCATACATCTGGAGCTGGAGTCCGTACTCCTCGGGCTCCACTCGCACATCTGTAGCTGCAGCCTGCACCCCTGGGCTCCCCTCGCATATCTAGAGCCAGAGTCCGTACCCCCAGGGCTCCCCTCGCACATCTGAAGCTGCAGCCCGCACCCCCAGAGCTCCCCTTGTACATTTGGAGCCAGAGTCCATAACCCCAGGTCTCCCCTTGCACATCTGTAGCCGTAGTCTGCACCCCCGGGGCTCCCCTCGCACACTGGAGCTGCAGCTCACACCCCCGCACTATCACCTTGCACATCTGGAGCCAGAGCGCACACCCTTGGGGCTCCCCGAGCACATCTGGAGCTGGAACCCGCACACCTCGCTATCACCTCACACATCGGTAGCTGCAGCCTGCACCCCCCGCTATCACCTTGCACATCTCGGGCCAGAGCCCACACCCCCAGGGTGCACCCTGCACATGTGGAGCCGCAGCCTGCACCTGGGGGCTCACCTCGCACATCTGGAGCTGGAAAAGCCGCCGCTCCTTCTCCATCTCTTCTGCGATTTCAGCCCCACTGATTTCGGTGCGAATCATCCCATGCAGCTTGGCGTGCTCCTTCTTCTCCTTCTCAATTTTGGTTCTGCAGCAGAAAAAGCAAGGATGAGCTGAGATGCCTCAGGCACGGCCCTCCAGACTACACGGGCTGCAGGGATCCCGTCACCTGGCCTGCAATACAAGCGTGCGGGAGTCTTTTGGAAATAAGACGGCCTCTTAACTTACTGGAAAGTTAAGTGCGTTTGGTCCTAAGAGTGTCAGATTTGGCCCTTCTTGCTGAGTACTGGCTCAAAAATACCTTCCTAAGCACCTACTCTGTGCCGGGTCTGGGTCAGAAGGACAGAAAGCCTGCCCCACCTCAGAGGTTTCCTTTAGGGCGGCACGTTGTCCGTCTGTCCGGGTGTCTGTCAGTGTGTCCGCTGAGCAGCACAAAGGGGGGATGCGTGGTGCAAAGACTCCCTCCCTCCTCCACGTTCTCTGCTCCTCTCCGCCTGCCTCCTGGCCGAGTGAGGTCTTGCTCGGGCTCTGCCTCGACTAGGGCAGTGCTCGTTGTTGTAGAACAAATCTCGCACGGAAGTGGGGAAAGAGTCACTTTCAAAAATTAATCCGAGAATTATGTGATGCTTTTGCACTCCCAGGTTCTGTGATTTTGTGAGTGATTCTGTCCCCGCTCTACATACGTTCTCATTGTACAGAATTTGATCTCATTCTCCTTTCAAAGCTTCTCCTTTCGGAACGAGGAGTCTCTCTGACAACCCTCTTCAAACCCCTCACTCCCCAGGTCTGGTAAAGGGCAGAAGCATCTCACTGGGGGCACTCGAGGGCGGCGGCAGCAGCTGAATGGGAAGCCACCTCCTGGCACTGGCTCAACGACCCTCTCGCTAGCTGACCAGAAGCAAACCACTGAGTCCTGGCGTCTGTCTATAAAGCAGGAATGGTGGTCCTTCCCGGTCGAGGGCACTGCTCCGTATCCAGAGGCAGGACGCTAAGGGCCAGGAGCTTCTCTGGCTTGAACAGACCTTCAGACACTCTAACTCTCTCTCTGTGTTCATCTGTGAGTACATGCCATGGGTGCGATCTGGAATCTGGGGAGCCAAACAACTCTGAGCACGGAAATCTGGGCATGGAAATTCAGGATTTCCAGGAGGGGACAAATATGAAAGGTTTGGTATTCCTGGGCTTGAGCTTTGTGATCCTTCATCCAAGGCTTCATCAGCCCGATGCTGGACTTGATCCTGGCCCCTAGGATCACGACCTGAGCTAAAGGCAGACACTTAACCGACTGAGCCACGCAGGAGTTCCCCAGGGCTGGTTTTAAAAACAACACCCCCGACCCCCGCCACAAATCCCAAGTCCAGTTAAATACTTATAGCTACATCTGGAACCGCTTTCTTCTTAACACCTCTTGCTTTACCAGATGGCTTCATGCTGAAGTTTCTATTTCCACTCAGAAAACTCTACATTATTACCCAACGCACAGTAATTACAAAGCAAACATGAGACATTTAAAAATATTTTCTGCCTCTCAAGTATTTACAGTAATTGAAACCACTATCCCCACAATCACCAGCCCAATCCCAGCGAGCCAAACCCTCCCCTGCTCGGAAGGAGGGACTGTGATCTGAAGTGTGCCGAGGACTGCCGGATGCCGACCAGGAGCGGGTCCAACTCCAGCGGACACCGCACTGCACGTCCCAGAACCCACCGACACTTTCTTCCTGTCCTTAGGGCAGACCGAGCCATCAGATAAGGCTAATGCGGGGAGCTGCAACAATCTCTCTTTTCTCTCTTCCTACACCAAGGGACTGGTGTTTCAGGGAAAAGTCAGACACAAAGCCAAAAGCAGACGACTCTTGCAAATCACCAGGAACATGAAGTCCAAAAACGGTGCTGCTGCCCTAACGGTGACAAAGTGGGGAAAACTTTTTTTTTTTTTTAAAAAGGAAAGAAACATCTCTCGACAAACCTGACCTTAATGTCCTTCAATTAGATTTTCTGAAAATTACATTCTGTAACCATTATGACATTGCAGAAAAGGGACCTGGAAAAACTCGTTGAAGAGGTCCGCAGCATTGCTGAATTTAGACGCCGAGTGTGAAAGCATCTGGCCTCGTCATGAACCCCAGCAACATGGGTTTAAGTGGATTCTTCCCTGGGCAAAGGTTTATTTAGAAAATACCTTCAAGCAATTAAAGCTCAATTTAAAATTAAGATCTCTAATTATCTGCATTTAAAAAAAAAGGAAACACTCACATTTTTGTTTCATAGTCCTTCCACGCTTTATCAAAAGGCTTTTTCAGATCCTGTAAACAGAGAGGCATAAATTAAACAGAACTAATTTTGGCTTCTGGGCAAGACAACTTACTTTTTCCTAGACTAGTCCTGAAAGAAGCATTAATTTCTGTAATAAATGATGTATACGATCCCATGAAAAATAAAGAACTTAGAGCTCAGGCTTTGAGTGAGCCCAGCGGCATGCCACACGCGCACAGAGGAAGCGGACAACACTGGTGCGCATGCGCTGTCCGCTACAGTGCGTGTGAACCCATGGCCCATGGTGTGTGACCTACATCCTCCCCAGAGAACCACCTCATTGGCAAGAGTTTTAGTACCTCTCTCCACCAAAAAAAAAAAAAAAAAAAAAAAAAAAAGGGATTCTGACTTTTTCAATGAATAGGGGAATGTCCCCTGAGAGATGTACCCCTGATTTGGGTCCAACAACAACGACATCAAAGCCCTTCGCTTTCTCCTGGGGTCTCCTGATTCTGCTCTTCGATCTGGAACTTGGGACCTCGTACGCTCTGATAGAGCCTGGCTCAAAAGCACATACTGAGCCACTGGAAATTCTATCAAGTGGTTCCTACCTATGTATGTGCCCTTTAACAGGGTTCTTTTATCAGAAGAATCTCATTTTGGGGAGGAGGTTTATTTTTTATTTTTTGGCTCTTCATTGGCCTTACGACAAGGCCAAAGCTCACAGCCCGGCATCTGAGGCCTTCCAGGAACTAGTCTTCCCCACCACGGACTCCTCTCCCACTCCTGCCCCAGACTCAGGGCTTCAAGCCATACTAAAAGCCTCAGAAGCAGCGCCCCATCATGCTTCCCCCCAACCTGCGTGTGTGTCCCTCTGCTTTATGCGCCCTGCCCCCCTACCCCACTGGCTAACTCGACAGATGTGTTCTCTAGGACCCTGGCCCGGGACAATGAGGAATGTTCACAGTGTCCTAATGGCTCGCCAGGCCCGGTGCCCTGCGTGACAGGTTCTGGGAGCGAAATACTGAGAGGTCCCTGCAGAGGTCGCAGAGACTGGCCAGCCTCAGCTTCCGGATGAGCCAGATGTGACTGGGAATCACGTGCAGATCCAACCGCAGAATCTGATCTAGGAAGCGGGGCACAATCCCCGGCCCCTCGGATCACACACCTCCTGTGCTGGTGACCGGCTGGAGCGGGTACTGCTTGGCGTCTGCTATAGACCCCAGTCGCGCCGCCCTCTCCGCACCCGCACACGCAACAACGCACAGCTTTGGTGCCGACTGGTGGCAAGGCGCTCCCTGAACAAGGAACGTCCTTTGGAGGACAGAAATATAAAGTCGGCTCGAGCCTTACTGGTGCAGAGTTTCCTGCTGGGAAACTACGTCTTTGCAAGGACACTCTTCTGCCCAGTGGTCAACCAGTGACACACCGGCCAGAAAACCACGCTTCCCTGCCCAGGCTTCTCCACTCAGCTGAGAGAGGGTGAAAACCACTTAAGGGCCTCAAAGGAGCTTCTTTCCCGCCCCGCCCTCCTGCCCTTCCCACGTTTACAGCACCAGCAGGATGACCAGAAAGGCCATGGGTCACCAGCAGTACGGCTGAAAGGTGGTGCGAACATAGCAAAATGAGGGAAACCGAGGCAGCAAGTAGCCGTCCTGCCATCCAGTAGGAAGGCACATGTGTGTCATGCCTGGACAGGCCGGTATGACCGCGACTCTACCTCCCCCAAGGACTGTCCCGGTGAGCTGGGTCCTGGACAGCTTACCCCTTTCACTCCTTTTAGGTCCCCCTTCAGCAAACTGTCCAGAGGGAAGGAGATGATGTTGTTCATATTCTGAATCTAAAAAGCAAACAAACAAAATTCTTATTTGATGTCCTTTTTAATCTGAAGAAAGGACAGCAAGACGCTAGAGAACATCTGGTAATAATCAACCTTCCCTGAAATCCCGGCCGGTGCGAGTGCCACAGCCTTATTTATTCCTACGCTCCGATCCTCGTGGCGGACTCACCTTGCAGATAAAAACACAACTCACAGAAAGTCTGTGTCTCTCAACTCTTCACAACAGTAACAGCCTTCTACTATTAACCTATGAAGTTTGCAAAAAAGATCATCATTATGATGAAGAAAAATTATTTTGAAACCGATGGCAGAACCACTTTAAAGATACCGAATAGAATCACAAACACACATTTCCTCTCTCACTCACAGCTCCAACATCCTGGGCTATGCTTTACTGAAGTCTCGGGCCCACAGACCCGAATCTCCCCAGAACAGCCCCCCGCAGGGGAACTCAGAACGAAGAAGAGAACGAGGGGACCCCTGTCTCTTCGTGAATATGTAGGAGTCAAAGTTCAGAGAGAGGAAAAGAAACGAGTGTGTGTTGCACGTGTTGTGCATGTGAGGTGTGGGGTGTATGCGGGACGTGTGTGTGTGTTGCTGGAAAAGGAGAAAAATGAGAAAAGGAGGGAGGGAGGTCTTGAGGTACTCTATTCTTCTCCCTGAAGCACGAAGGCAAGGGATGGAGGCTTAGCACGTTGTCACCACAGATTAAATTGACTAGAATCAAGCCTGACACACACTTGGAGCACACTCACAGTGAACAAGGCTGTCCCCGCTGGCTGCCAGTGTGGGAAGTGAAGACACCAAGCTTTGGCTGGGAACCATTAGGCACCGGCTCCCCATGTTCTGAGGCCCACCGAGTCCCTCCCTGGCCACAGCTGAGATCTCCTTTCTCCTCTCCCCAGCTCAGCCCATCGCCCTAAGTCAACACAACTGCCAGCTGGTACTGCCGGGGCCGTGTGGCACGTGTGGCACTTTGGGATACGCACACCTAGACTGTGGGCCTATGAAAGAGGAGAGGCAAGTCAGGACTTTGGAACCATGTGCATTTATTCTTACCACCGAGCAGAGGAAAATTTTAATTTTAGTAGAATTACTTTGAATAGGAAAACCAACTCTGGGCCCAATTTTTCAGGCAACATGGGATCTGATTTTCATACACTATTTGGCATATGAATCCTCAAAATGGGAGGAAGAAACTGACTTGAAAAATAGTACAAAGGTGTGTGACAATGCCTGTCCCAAACCACCAATCCTGCCAAATAAATGATCGATTCATGACTGTCATTACAGAAATGCCTTTTCTGGGTAACCATGGTCCAAGGCTTCCACAGCTCAATGTCTGTCACGCACCTGGCAGCCCGCCATGGCACAACGGAATCAGCGGGGACTTGCGAGGATCAGCCGGAAGGGTTAGGTTTTTGGAACAGAGAAGCAGAGTTAAGGCGAGGTCTCAGGGATGACTGGAAGGCAGACTGACGAAAGAAGGCTGTGCCGGTGAATCACGTCTGACAGCAAACACACCTGGTTTCCGCCGTAAACCATGGCAGGAGGAACCCCGAGCGCAGAGGCTGCCGCACGCCTGTCTGCTTCTACACCTGCCCCCGCCCGGATGCCTGCCGCAGCCGCAGCCGCACGCCCCACCCGGCTGCCATCCCGCCAGCCCTGCTGCCTCTGGCAGGTGCCCCCGCCCGGCTCCTCTCCGCGCCCCAGCTGCTCTCCACCAACTCCCCACCTGCCGTTCTCGCTGCCACATTCCTGGGTGGGTCTCTCAGCCCCTCCTCTGGAGGAGGCTCCTGGCCACCAGCCCCTACTCTCCGCGTGACCCTCCTCTCCCCTGCAGTGCTGTCGGATTCATCCCGGGTGCTGCCCCTGATAAGGGCTGAGCCGACTCCTGCCCTTGGGACCCTCCACGGTCCAACCTCCTTCTCTACTTTTCATCCTCGTACCCAGCCAAGTGGAAGGCCTTGCTGTTCCCTACTTGGACGTAACCTGCTCCACCGGCCGAGGGTCCTCCCGCACCCCTGTCCGAAGGCTTCCCGTCCATCAGGCTTTCCCCAGATGCCACCTTCTCCGTTAACACCCTCCATCCAGTTGCCAGCAGGAAGTGATCCCTCCCGCCCAAATCCTCCAATATTTTCTTTTTTAGAAATTTCTTCAGGCACTTGACAGGTCCTATCCTGCTCCATCTCATGTCTCACACCGTCATCCTAAGGGACAGCTCTGAGCGTACTCGTGTTATATTCTCCACGGCCCCTAGCACAGGACTTGGCCCAGAGCAGGTGCTTGAGAAATACTGAGGAAATCAATATACTGCAGTATTATTTGGAGCATCTAATACATAAGAGACAGACTCTAGAGATTCACTAATACCTTTAGAGCAAACATCATAGAGCAAATGCATATGTGAATTCATTAATCTGTCCGTCCCGTATTTACTGAGCATGTATTTTAAAGACAGCAACCAGCTGCCTACAAAGATAAAAACACAATGCTTGCCGTCTCACAGGAAGAATAAATATATAAACCCACCAAGAATTAAAACAAAATTTTTTTTTTAATTTTATGTATTTATTTGACGAGAGAGAGAACACGGGGTAACAGCAGAGGGAGTGGGAGAGGCATACTCTGCTGAGCAGGGAGCCTGATGCAGGGCTCGAACCCAGGACTCTGGGATTGTGACCCGAGCTGAAGGCAGATGCCTAACTGACTGAGTCACCCAGGTGCCCCTATACACACCAAGAATGAAACAAAGAAAGTCTAAGACATCACACATGCAGCGTATTTTACTCTGTGCAGACACCAATGGCTCCTTCTGGAGAGAGACAATGACTTTGGCTCTGAGCGGCCAGGCAGGCTAACCTGGGCTTGGGAAGGAGGGGTCTGTCCCAGTTACTGAGCCTCATGATGCTGCCCACTCATCCACACGATCACGAAGAGCCATGGCTAAGAGTCAGGCACAGATCAGTTTGGTCCTGAACACTGCCCAGAGAGGAGCCAACACTGCGCCATCTTGGACGAGGCAAGTGCAAGAAAGGGCAGCAAACACAGCCCCGAGGGGAGCACCAAAGCCACCAGCACAACTCGGTTATACAGTAGGTTGGGGGGAGAAACAAGGTGCTTGCAGATTAAAAATCTTATTACTAGAAAGAAGTCTAGTGCGTTTGTTACAAGAGGCATGTTTAAGTATGAGTGTACGCATGAATAAGTGAGGAAAACAAGATTCTCTACAGCAGGGGAAAGAATGCAGAGTCTGGTTTATAAATGTATTTTAAGACCATCTTCTATTTAATTCAAATAAGAACACAGGTACTGATGGACAGGAGTCAGGTCCAGGAGAGAGAAACTAAGCTTTGGTATCTAGAGTGAAACGGGAAAGCTGAGGAGTGGACACCGATGGCTACCCTACTGGCTGGCTCGGCTTTCCCTCCCGATGTCGTGGATGGGGCCCACAGCCTACAGTGACCGGGACACGACAGCCACCACAGCTGCCAAGGAGACGCACAGGGTCCTTAGGGAGTGACAGGAGATGAAGACGAAGGGGCACAGAGGGTTAGCAGACAAAGATGGATTAGACAGAACCTCAGTCCCAGGGACTCACTGGCTAATAGGAAAGATAAAGCCCGGAATTAAGTAAGCAGACTGCCCTGTGAGAACTCCAGAGAGCCATAGATAAACCACCACGGAATTTTGGAGAAAAGAAAATTACTTTTAGCCTGGACACCAGGGAAATCTTTGCTGATCGGGGGTTATGTGAGACACACCTTTGAAAGAGGGAGCATTTCGTCTTGCAAGATCGGGTGGGGAGCTATCCCGGGCAAAAGAAGCAGGACAGAGAAGTGGGCAGAGGCCCACGGCAGCCACGTGAGCAGAGGGACAGGGAAGGGCAGGGAAGACAATGCTGAGAAGGGACGTCCAGGTGCCAGATGGACCAAGGGGGTTCTGGCCTTCGTTCCAGTGGCTTTTTCTTGCTGGAGTTATTCAAATGATCTAAAATAAGAAACCAGTACTTCCCTAGTCAGAAAATAATGAGCTTAATTATTACAGAAGAGAGAGAAAGCAGATCAGTGATGGCTAGGGGCTGACTGTGAGAGGACTGGAGGGACCTTACTGAGAGCAGAAACCATCTCCAGACCGATGTACGGTCACAGTTATGCCACTTGGCAGAGTTACTAGAAATCACTGACTTATATACTTGAGATAGTAAGTAAAATATACCTCAATAAAGCTGTTTTTATTAAAAAAAATATACCATTACAAATATTAACAGAATTCCTATCAATGGACGGACTCATTAATCCAGCTTCGTCCTCCTGGACACGGGCCTCTGCACTTCTAAGGCTCCATGTTTTGACTCAGGGTGAGCGTCCCAGGAAATGACGGCTTTAGTCTCTGCCTGGGCTGGAGAACACACACACAGGAGCCCAGGTGCTCTGTCTTGGCAAGAGTGCCCCGAGGCACGAAGGTCGGGCTCTGACTCTTTCTCCGTGTGATCGGGCAGTCCCCTGTGCCTCGGGGCCACAGCTGAACGAACCATCTTCTGTTCTGGCCCACAGGGGTGAAAACCACAGCCCAAACCAGTACACATCCTTGTGCTCAGCAGCCCAGGCCTCAATTCATGAGTAATGAAATTTTTATGACCTATGGGAAGAATTAAACCATCCCTGGGTAATCCAACCAGAATATTTCCTTAGTGATAGCAAGCACTGGGCTTTCTCTTGTGGTCTGACTTACTTTTTAACACATGTATTATGTAACATGGCTTTCTGAAACACCTAGCATGATCGGATTATAGACTATTAAGCTCAATCACTGCTATTGACTAGGGATCTAATACCAACAGCAAATAGGGAGTCTTTTTTTTTTTTTTTTAAGATTTTATTTATTTATTTGACAGAGAGAGACACAGCAAGAGAGGGAACACAAGCAGAGAGAGAGGGAAAAGCAGGCTTCATGTTGAGCAGAGAGCCTGATGCCGGACTTGATCCCAGGACCCTGGG